GCCATTACGCAACGAATTAAAAATAATTATGGAGTCTAGACGAGATCGTACTGTTAATATCGCGACTTATTATAAAATAGCGGAGATCGTTGGCAAAGAGAGCGACGTCGTTAATGATTTCGTACTTCTTTGCATGATTGCTCTTGCAGTGGACTGTAATTTGTCGTTACATGACCTGGTTTTTAATTTTGACCAACTAAATTTTTTCCTTGCTTTACTGTATATACGTAAAACGGCAACGGTGGAATATATAGGGTGAGCCAATTTCTTAGTACAATATCATTTCTTACAGAATGTTGCAGCTTCACCGCTTACATAATCTCACTTACCTACTAAATTTTAATTAATTCTCTAAAAGTTATTAATTTTTTTCCGATTAATCGATCTCGAACGGCGATCGAATTCGGTTTTTTCCTCGAACTTTTATTGTTGTTGATATACGCGATTTAAGTGCCGGAGATGCTTTTCTTTTTCACACATCAACGACCGTTTGCATTCTTCGACAGTCGGCAATTATCAATAAATGGTTGTGTTGGCATTTCCCATTTCCAATTAGCTCGAGATCTTCTTGTCGTACCGTTTACGGGCGCCTCTCGCATTGTAATGAGACTTTAAATTAATTATTTAGTAATTTTGTTTCATATTAAATTTAACTATACAATCTCTAATATCTACTGGAACAGTGAAAACTCATTATTTTTTATATGTACTTGACTATGCAGTTCTTTTCCTATAGACCTTTGGTCTTCAATTATAAATAAATTCTTCTTCATCAGACAAGCTTCAACTCGAAATTTCCAAATTTTTTACCATAAATCCCTATAAAGAATCCTTTAAAGTAGGTACATATCCTTTAAGTTCCTTTATGAAATAGGTTGTAATTGATATTATTTAATAAACAACATATGATTCTGCTTGGGATATGCTATATTTCGACCACATCAGTGAAGAAGTTAATTAGCATTATGTTAATAACTATTTATTTATACGTATATCATCGAGGAGCATCTCTGGTAGAAGATATACCGAACGGCTAACATGCGCATCGAAAATGCAGTGGTAATTACAAATTTCAATTGATAATTACGCTAATTAGCAATTCGAATTGGCAATTAACGGTTGTCATTGGGCAGCGTACAATTCACCCGCCAGCAAAAATATTAAACTAATTTTTCCGGCTGCTATTCATGCATAATTACAGCTCGTTCCTTATCATTGTTGGGCGATAGCGATCTCTCCACACTCATTAGCTGAATAATTTTCGCAAAATGAAAGCGCGGAAAATCCTTATCGACCAATGTTTCTATTAGAACATCGCTTTGGGTATTATCGAAAAATTTACAGTAAATTATTCCGGTATAATGGAGGTATTCGAAGCCGCAAAACGATCTAGTCCGATTGGGAACACTCGTTTCGAAAGAACCACAAATTTGATTAAGATATTAGCCGGAGGAATGGGATTTTATGAAAGTACCCCACCTAGAGATGGACGCGCAATGATAAGAGAGCAAGAGCGGCCGGATTTCCATGTTTAACAGCAATAAAGGTTATACGGAGACGTTCAGAAGCGTTTGAGTGGAACATTTTAAATATTTGTGGGTAGTGTCGTGACTTTTATGGGATAATTTATTTCGACCGATTTTTTTTTTCGTTTCGGATTTATGTCCGTATAGTTCGTTTTAATGTCGAGGAGTCGCCGATAAATCAACCGCGTGAAAATATAACATATTTAAGACAGGCCGAAGAGTTTCGTAAAATACACACGCAGGGAAATATTTGTACATTTTCGTGCCTGTCGAAATTTAATTGTTGAATCGAATACAGGGTGTTGGTTACTCAACTGTTGGTTACTTTCTAACCTACATATACATGATGGTGATCTGTAGGTATGTAGGTACTTAGCGTTTTGTTGGTTTTATGGCTCCAGACTGACATTTAGCGTATTAGTAATATAGATTTACAATCGACGATGTTACGTGCACGTCATGTCACATAATTTTAACGGGCGATTACAATAGAGCTGGCATTTTTCTCCAAACTAAGTGTGGGGTCTCCGCATTTCCCAATATAACGCTTATCTCCACCATCGAGCGCTTTATCGAGTCGATTTATTATAATTAACTCGTTCTTCGTACGTCAACTAGTTCATTTGAATATCGCTAAAAATATCACGTTTTGTTATTAATATAAAATCATTCGTTGAACTCTACCTAATGCGATCTATTTATAACAGGAATATTGTTTACTTATTTCGGGACACACTGTATGCATTTGAGTTGCAAAAATGGGATTTAATTCGTCCATCAGAGACACCCTTTGTGCGTGTTCGATGGGCCTTCGTTTCGCGAACAATAGCCGTCTTGTTGCGTTGCAAGACGCCGTAGAATAGAATAAGAACAAAAGCGGAACGCTGATTAAAGATGACATGTACATCACATTATGTGGTGCCACTAGTACTATCCCTAGCACCAACTAGTATCTAGTAACAAGGCATGAAAACAATCGCTTGCCGGAATGGACGGCGCAAGACAAAAGAACAAAAGGGTGTCTTGCTTCATGCGATGTCAACTGGACAGTTTTTGCGTTACCCGTTCGCAGGATTGGCTCTAAAAAAGTTCCTCTGAGCCGTTGAGTCATGTACGCTCCCTGCGTGCGATACCAATCGATTACTCGGATTTTATTGTTGGTAGAAATGCGCGAGGAAAATTGTGCGTATTTTTTAGTTGAAAAATGACTATCTGTAATGTGTTGAGCGAAGCGTTTATGCGTGTTAAACATTTATGGCAGCTGATAATTCTGTTGGAAAATGACCCCGTTATTACACAATTAACAGCCATAAATCTCGACGGTGGAGCATGTGGGCGAACATTCCAATCCAGTCCATCGCACATTCGCATAATCTCGTACACTATTCAATTGCCTGCTTCTCCCATTTTTTTCGATAATTACCTACAAGGAATATATGGTTCACATTAAACCATTGTATTGGTATTGTTTGCATTTCTTAACAAGGTAGTTGGAGATCGCTGGATAACCTCTTCTTATCCGAATGGATTCCTTCTTCGGTTTTTACTTTTCTTTTGTTTCATTGATTGCATTTATCCGATTCGGTCGTGTTCCGACGTTGCCTGTTGGTGGGAAAATACGAGGATCCGGGGATATTAAAAGCGGGGTGGGTTATCTTCGAGCGATGCTTATTCACGCTTCACAGAGCAAGCACCGGCGTAAAGTAGTAATTTTACACCTCTAACGACATTCGGAATATTCGCGGGGATTATCACGGGCATTAAAACTATAAAATCCTTATACGTGCAGAATGTGGCAGAGAAATTTACCGTTCCTAATGAAAAAAAATTAAACCGTCGCTGAGAAAATAAGACGAATAAAATTTCTTTTAATGACCGCGTAGGCAAAATTAAATTAGATTTTACTCCGGCACAAACGCTATGTTTACGGTGTTATAAAATTCCGAATTCAACTTCTACCCGCAAGCAATAATGCACCGGAATTCCGCACTAAATTATAGTCCCTTACCTGAATTATAGTCAAAAACTTCTAAAATGGATACTTATATTACATTAATATCTAATAGAGTAGAGTGGAACAGAGTAAAATAGAGTAACCAGGTGAACGATATTTGAAAAATAACGCTTATTTTATAACAGTCGTTACTACAACTCTATGCAAGAAAATATTCCCACCTCTATTAAACTTCTGTCATACGAAGTGTCAATGTCAATTTTGAAAGTTTTTGAATATGTATCATCGAAAGCATCTTAAAATCCTACTTATTTTGCGTACAATGCAACAAAAAAATAGTTATTTAATTTCTACAAACTATAAGTCTGTCAAAGCTGTACATTTTCCAAGGGAAGAGTGTTAAAAATTACAACAGAAAATTGCTTTAAAAAGCTGTTCAATGCAGGCGAGAGTTGATTAGAGTAGATTTAGAATATATTAGAGTAGATTAGAGTAGAGAGTAGAATTCGTAGGCATGTAGTGGTCGACTTTATGGGATGCCCTCGTCCATTTTCAAATCGATTTGATTAACGAAATACTCGAATTGACTGATAGAGACTGATGAACTTGTAATTCCAGAGACTCGTTTCTGCGCAAAACCCATCCGAGAGCCGGCTATAACAATATTTCTAGCGAAGTTATGTGCGACTTGCAGCGCTCATAGCACCAATACACATGTATTAAGTTCGTGAATAATACATTCGCCGCGCTGAAACGCATTTTTTATCGCCGACGCTCTCCTAACAAGATCTCTACATGATCGAAAACACTTCGGGAAAATCAAATTAATCGAAACCGTGTTCAAGAATACCTAATTTTATATTACACGATAGTTATGGTTTGTTCAAACAGGAACAAACTATTCAATTATAGCAAAGTATTACTAAAAATTTGTGGAATATGTTCGCAAATGTGCAGCTGTGGGAACGAGGAGAAGCAACTACCTAAGATGTTCCGCGAATTTTTCATCTCTTTGTGTGCTGAGTTCTAATCTAGTCTAAAATTAAACACGCAATTTGAATAATGTAAAGCGGTCTTTCAACGTCAGCGCTTCGATTATTTACGGGGAGCCAAAAGAATGCGGAGAATCCGAAACCAATCTTACCAGTTAGCGGCGGTGACTTCTGATTTGTTGGACGCTGGTACGGGAGCTACCAGAACGCTGCGACAATTCGAAATAAATGGCGCTCTTAGCGCGAATTGCTAAAGATTTTCCTCGTAATACTACTCGTGTATACGTATGAAAATTACGCGCTAAGTATCGAGTATCTGTTGAAGATATGGCGATGGTAATTACGGCGTTTAATTAGAAAATTCGCTGGGTTTTTTATCGGATGCTCGAGGTATTTTATACGGTGGATAAAGTGTAAATTAACTTGCTGATTTATTCGCTATTAGGTGCTGTATAGGTGTAGATTTCTTGTTTATTTTGTTCAATATTGGTTACCGGTAGTTTCGATTGAAAAGAATTTGTGATTTTTGTCGATATTTTATAAAGTTCTACAAAGAAGGATCTTTATCTAATAAAGGTTTTAAATAGCAACATTGGTTTGTTTGTTATTAACATTTTCATCGCGTTTTGCCGAATTTTTAGTATCGCTGATGTAACTCAAATTCTTATCCGTTTTTGGTAATGATATTAAAATTTCATCAATTTCTTCGTCTAATCTCTCCAATCGATTGAGGACGCCTTTTAGATATGCTCCGTTGGATTTATCCTACATTTATTAAATTTTCGATTAATATAAATCATTCGAAATGAATGAGCTTTTTCAAGTACTTACAATGTCCATTACTTTCTTCGTAGGCAGATACATGAAATTTCAGTCAAATATTTACTTTGACAATCAATTAGAATATGACAATCATTAGATGGAATTAGTTCAAAATTGACATTTCTTTTATTAACAAGTTTGTAATCTTCGATTAGTTATTGCAATATTATTGCATTTATACTGATGCAAGTAAAGAAAAGGCTAATTTTAAATGTACATACATTAAAGAGAAATCTACCATATAGGTACCCATACGTCAATGCTTACGCGTACACACGTAACTTGGCGTGTAAGGTAAACAACTTAATATTAATTAAACAGGGGCGGTTTCAGCCCTTGTGCTACAAAATTCATATTAAAATAATAATCTCCCTCCGGCAAATTCCCGTGTAGGTAGATATAATTATTATTTTAATTACTAATATCAATATACCTATTTAAAATAACGTATCGAATGAGTTTCGCCTTAAACCGGTCTGGATATATTAAAATGAAGTCTTCGTTGGTGACTGCTCGTTTTGTACAGGCATCGAGATCGATCTTGTTTTTCACTTATAAGGATATTACGCATTTCATTTTTTGTATACAGCTTATATGTTCGTTACCGACGAAGGCTGCGTAATAGAAAAATTTCAATACAAACGAATCTACTCGACTAGTAGATACTATTGTCCAGCATATACACCTTCTCATTTGAAACCAGCACGATTAGTACTGGTTGACTGGTGAATTGCTGATTGGGAACAAAGCGTAATGTCTCTTCCTTATAAAGTAAGCGGCGAATTTTTCGTAGATACTCATACGTATTGGTGTACAAATGTACGATTTTCTACGCCTATGAACGGCGAGTACGATAAATATATCCCGGCGAGAAGCCGCTTAAAATCTTAAGTCTCTTTTATCGTCCTACTCCGGTGATTCCGGACTGCGTAAATCTCTTCCACCGGCCGGCGATATTTCAGCCGTTTGTTCTTTGAAATACTTATGGTCTATTATTTCGCACATGGTTTATGCACTGAAAGTCGACCCGGCCCACGCGGCTTCCATACTCACGTCGGGAAGGACCTCTAGGTTATGCGTTTCTTGCGTTTATTCTTCGGCCGTTTTACGAGCAAATCGAAGGCCTTCGGGCGTCCACAAATCCAGCTGTTGTTTATAAATAGTTCTGCTACAGGAAGTACCTATAACCTGCCAATCTTTCAGTAGGTAAACGAATGAAAGCACCTCTCATGTATTCGGTGTAATATAGTTTTTTTGTGGCGTGTGCTTACAAGTAGATTGATTTATATTTTATATATATAGGTACTGAGAATGGGATGGAAGTTAATACGCGCAAACCCAGTAATTATTTATTACCATGACTGTGTACTTTGTATAAATCGCAATAAATTCGCGCTGCTTATAAACAACAAAATGGCGTAAATACTTACTAGCTCGAAAAAAGCAGTACTTACGTATGCGTACAGTACTTAGGTACGCCTAGACTCTCGGTTAGTTATGATTACAAACAGATTAAATCCCGCATTTCGTTATGCATAAACATAAATCTTTCAGCGAACTTTCGTTTTAACCAATTGCGCGCACGTATAGCCTTCTCGGATGGAGACCACCTCTCGGTGGAGTGATAGTTCAGTTTCCAAGCCTCTCCTATAACGTCCACTTTTTTACCAATTAGAAAATTTTCGAACAATAACACGCCTACATCGAGCACTTGACGGAGAGCAAAGAGCACTTGAATAATAGCGATTTACGGGCGTACTTTTTGCGTCGTCCAATTTACCCGGCAGAGTTATGAGTTGTGTGGTACTGACACATACGGAGATTTTATACGAATTTATAGGGCGTTTTTTTTAATTCTAAGCTCGTTCGAAAAATTATTATTAATTATTTCACGATTCCGCGAGGCGAGTACCAGCACGGTGGAATAACTATTATAAAGTGTATGTCATTGGTATGTTGGTTGAAAGAGCGCCAAGCAGGAATTTGAGATCTCGGTTTTTAGATAAGTATAACCATTCTGGCGGAGCAAATTGTTTTCTTGTTGGAGCAGTGCTTATACATGACTGATTTACCCAGTCCAAGGTACCCACTCTTTCTTTAATGCTCCGGTTCTTATCGGAAATCTTTAAACTTTCGAACCGAACTATCGGCGTCTTCGGCGCGAGAGATGGCGATTTTAGAAATGTAACAGGTTTTTTTTTGTCGGGTTGCCCATTGTCGACTGGCAGCAGAAAAAATTGTTATGAATATTTACGTAACGAAATGTTTATGCTAAGTGCGCGTCTGGCGGTCTAGTTTTTTTTTGGGCAATTTGATTATCTATGCCTAATTTAGGTGGATCCTGTAGGTGGAGGAATTTGGAATTAATTGGTACATTGATTAATTACCTGGTGGTAAAGGATTTTAGTGAAAATGTGTTTGTTTGTTTCAGGATATGGGTCAAAGCTGGGAGCAAAATTTTAATCATTTATATGCCTTCATAAAGAACAAGATTTGGTACACCTAGAAAATAGGAATGAACATAGGAGAATGGAAAAGCTGGAGATTTAAAAAAAAATGAAATTCGATTTATTCCACTATAATTTTTCATATTCTTGCAGTTGAAGATCGAGAAGGGATATCCAGTAGATTTTCTAGAACATATTCCTGCACCCTGCACATAATAAATAAACATATCTCTCTCAAATTTACTCAACGTTTTTCCACCATAATAAATGATTTAATAAGGCATATTATTTCATATTTCCTACTAGGTTACTAAGTCACAGTAGCAGGTTGCCGGTTTTTCTTCCTATACGAAGCGGCATGACGGCTTCGCGCGGCTCCCGTGGGAAATTTCTGCCGATAAATCATTACTTTATGTGATGGGTTTCTTGAAAGACAACCGTAGAAGAGTTCGCTACCGTTTCGTAACATTTTAAAGACGTCTCGGTTGCGCCATATTGACGATACGTACGCGTTTCCTGTATTTATGAAGAAATAAAATATATTCTACCGAGAAGCCGCGCGCACCATTTCGATATGAAAACATTAGCGACTTAAAAGGGATATAGAATGGCGCAGTTTGCTTTTATTATGCAGGTCGTATCAAAAGCGGTTTGAAAAATATCGTAAATGATTTTGGTTTAATTAGCGGGCATACCCCCTAATGTTAAGCGTTACGGATATTTTTCAGAGCTAATTTTGAAGTATAATAACGATTTTTTGCAAGTCACACAACTTATAGTTATCGAATGCATTATCATGTTCTGTAATTATTAATGAAAGTAGATAAATGGTTGTATAAGTTGAGTGTATGTTGGAGTTTTATTTATTTTTATCAAAATGTGGGCTTATAGATTACTTATGGAGTTCAATTTCTGGTGATGATTTGGGCCTTACAGGTTCAGTTGACCGATTAACTTTTACTGGCCTGTTAAGTCCCAAGTTTTTGCAAGAAACAACCGTCGTCTACAATCTCTAGGAATTAATGGGTAGCCTTTCACGGGCAATTTTGGGGTTTCTTAGCGACATTTGCCAGTATATGATAGCAATGCCCTTGGAAATCCCAAATATGTTCGTCTGTTAATCGCCTTGATGTAGGATTAAAACGTCGTTTAAGATTAAGGCTATATTTCTAACGACAGTCTGCATAGAAATAACAAATTTGTTATAATTATAAGTTTTGTAATTAAATAAATAAATAATTATTTAAAATGTGTGTATAATAAATCGATGGACATCCACAAGTAAATACGATTACACGTCGAACTTACCAAGCAAATTTGATAAAACTTTTTAAATGCGCAAAACCGCTCAGAAATTTAACCGTACCAGTGCGTTGAAATTAACATTTTTGAGCGATTCCTTTCCAGAAAAAATAAACAAAAACACTTACACTTAGTTTATAATACACATGGTAATAATTAATAATATATTCGAATTGAAAACATTTCGATAAACGAATCTGGATTTATATACAGAGCGCACTCTCATACATTTCCGAATACCTACAATTTTTAGATAAAGAAAACACATTTATATCTACACATTATTACGAGTATATCAAACGTGACACATATTAAGTATACTTGCAGGCCGAAGGTCGAAGTGCATCCAACTAATCCAACCGCCCCCGTATAAAATCGATACCGGATTCTGAATTTAAATTCCTTGGGGAATACCTACATCAGCGCGAGCTTGCAATTCGACATCCGCCTTTCGATCAACTCCTTGTGGACTTAAGTTACGGTTAACTTACGACTTTAAGCGACTAACCACTACCAGTTGTTTAAATTTTTATTTGTTTACAATCTAATCGTAAATGTAACAACGGTTATCAAAATAATTGAAAACATATCGAACCGCTTTTATAAAAAGTACTTAATATGCCACTCTCAGCTCGCCTCGTTTTACATTCGAACGAAATAAATGCGAAAGAGAAAACGTATCTACCGGGTGTCCCCGAAAATAATGCATTCATTCGCAAGGCTCCATGGAGGCAACACGGTTTTCTTTAATGGAAAAATTGACCCAAAAATTAATAAGTTGTGCGCTAATTAGAAATTGTAATTTGTTATTAAATATACTTACGTTTGTTGGTACTTCGTTAATCTTACGTGTTGCACACCTTAATAAATTAACTCTAATAAGAAAATTGTGTTGCCATCAGTTACAAGTCCAAGCTAAAATTACTTATACCCTGTAAAGTATAGCGCATTATTTTCGAGAAAACCTCGCTTACATACGTTATTGTGTAAATAAATAATATGATGAAACACTCATTAAAATTCAACAATGAAAATATTTTACTAAAAAAGTTTAAATGCAGCGGAGGAGCTGAAGCGTCCACCAAAATTTGAAACAACCTACTTACATTGAGTAGGGTATTTTTGGTACGGACTTATCGTAGACAATAACGTATGCATTATTTTTTAGTATAAAAATTCATATTCCTACACCGATTTGTTCATGTTATCGTGAACAATTGTTCAATTACACGTTAGTTATAGGTTTGAAATCGCAATCGAACGTCAGGCTTCACATTTTTCGAAACCTAATAGACTAGAAATGCTACGATTAAAAGAGGGGCAGTGTTAGTGAGACGGAGAACACTTTAAAATTCGTTCTTTTAACAGTGTTTTTTTTGTACTAATGATGCTTTATCTTTTTTCCTAACCTTTCCAAAAATTTCCTTAACTCTCCTTCTCGATGTTTACGCTATACAATCTCGATATTAAATCCTATTCATCAATGTTTGTTCCTACAAATTCCCTTTTAAAACGATCGAATTGTAAAGTTTCGACGACTTTTCGGATGGCCTCGTAAAAATGAAACCGACCGACGTTCGTAATAACTATTATAAATTTCATACTGACTAGGTATATTTAATTAATACACGACAAACTTGCAGGAACTATTCTAATCTTTTTAAATTTTTTTATTTATTAGATTTAAATAAATATGTGCTTATAAATTACATCTGCAGAAGACATGAGACAATTTTCTTCATGAAGATATGTTTTTGCTTGCGCTACAAACAGGGGGTGTTGGAGAAATATTGTGGTACGCGCACGCGCGTGAACGGTCTTCTTTTCGTATAAATTTCATAAAATAAATATCATTTTTTATATATATTTGTAATTTTATAAATAAATAAATCCCTTGACTAATATTCCCATTCTTTTATATATGAAATGTATATGAAATATTTTAAAAATATAAATTTATTATTTTTCTTATAACTTTCTTGTGTTGCGGGGGCGAATGAAAACCTACTGATCTGTTCGTTTAAGGAAAAATTACTGTTCGTTTTTTTTTTATAAAATATTTAATTTAAGCACCTTTCGATTTTTTTTATTTAATCATAGCTTAGAAATTTAATGCAGGGTGAATTGTGGAAATGTGCTCGATTTATAAACTCAATTTAGTTTCAAACCTTGAGTTTTTTTAAACACCACGTATACATGAATAAAAAGTATGTTGTTGCACCACAAATAAATACCTCATTGGAACAGATTCAGATTGAAAATCAAACCAACTGAAGTCTAATTTGAAATTGGAAAAGTCTTAAGTGTACGTTAATAAATAATTTTTAGTCACGTCACGACAGTGAAAAGTAAAAAAATAACGCTATACATACAATAAGTTAATTACATCTAAAAATAATGAAATTGAGCAAAGACAACGAATTGTTAATTAACAGACGAGTAATTCGTCGAGTACATAATACTCAAGAGTGTTTAATCCCGCGGAATGGTGGAAATAAATCTGTTTAAAGGGTACCAGGGAGCGATGAATCGATGGCGTACGACAAGTTAGTAAAATTGGTCTCGCAGTGAAAGAACGTCGAACGTCCGAAAAAATTGTTAGTATAAAACAGTAATAAAAAGGTATACGAAGCGATCACGCGCCCGTCAGTGAGACGGAATTCGGCACCCACAAACAGGTGACGCTATTGATTAATTGAACAGTCTCGAATTTTGCCGTGGGAAAGAAAGAGTTGAGCAAACCAACCCGGCACGCGCTCGCTTCACATTTACCAATCTCTTCGTTCTCTTTCCTCTCCCATCTGCCCGCCCGTCTACTCCAATCGCGGCTTGTAGCTCGTCTTCCATATCTCTGCCAGCGCCACCGCCGAGTGGAACCTGTGGAAGATGCACAACGGCAACGTCAATCTCTGCACCATCGACCAGGTCAAGTAGCCGTAGTATCTCAACTGCACCGGGTTGTTCTCCACCTTCCTCGATTCGAACGTGTAGATTATCCAAATGGTGATGTTGCATATCAGCAGGAACGTCACCACCTGCCGGCCCGGCTTGGTCCTGTCGTGCTCCGGCAGGTGGACCCGTCGGCGCGACACGTCGGCGATGAACAGCAATTGCAACAATACCTGCGAACATTCCGGTTTCAACAAGCAAAATTCCGCGAAATGCAGGGATATAATTACTTGGACGACGACGAGGATTCCGGTAATCATGGCGAGCAGGTTGACCTCCACGGAGAAGGCGTTCAAATGACCGGCGATGACGCTGAAGACGGCGTACAGGAACAACCCGAAAGCGGACACTCTCAGCAGGATGTCGTTCAAGTCGCTCTGCTCTTCCTTTTTGAATTTCAGCGATTTCACTCTGCCAACGAACAACGTTAAACACTCGCTTATTTCGAAATCACCTCGACTCACCGTATGAATCCGATCAAAGTGGCGACGATACTCAAGGCTAGCAGGGCGCAATGCGACACCTCCGCTAAGTATACAGCCAGCAATTTGAAGGTGTCGTTCGATATCAACACGAAGAACAGGATGAGGCAAATTAGGGAACCCACGAGCATCAGAAGACCGAAGAACAGTCCCTTGGAAGCGCCGACGCAATCCACTCTACCCTGTTGTTGGGCCTGCGCCAACGCCACAGCTCTACGAGATAGCATAATTTCCAAACGGTGTTCTAAATTCTCTTGGTTAACATACCTTCAAAACGTTACAAACTAGTTAACGAGGGTATCAAGAGATTGCTGTTGGACTTACTTGGGGTTTTTGCCGATGTGCTTCCACATGACGTAGATGACGGCGGCTCCGATCAGCGAGAATTCGATGATGAAAGGGTACAGGTAAGGTCCCGAATCCTCCACGATTGTTCCCATGATGTTCAGTCTGCCGCAGCGATCCGAGCTGTTGGCGGTGGCGTTGTAGGAGCCGTAGAAGGAGAACGCCTGCGGAACGATGTCGTTGAGGAATTCGGTATCGTTATTGGACGAAATCGCGTTGCCCAGCTCGGGGAACAGCTCCACCGCTTTGTTTTCTGGAAACCACAAAGGTCACAATAAAAGTAGGATAGCGAGTTGTGCTAGATGTTTACCAGTAGAGGCACTGTTTATATTGTCAGCGGTGATGCTGCGCACCAAATTCGAATCGAACAAACTCCCGAACGACAGAGTCGTTGTGGTCGTAGCCGCAGTCGTGGTCGGGAACGGCGTGGTGCTCGTGGTTGTTGTAGTCGGTGTAGTAGTCGGTAGCGGTGTCGTAGTGGTAGTGGTGGTGGTGGTAGTAGAAGTGGTGGTGCTGGGGGTGATAGTCGAAGTTATAGCCGTCGAGACGGCCCTCCACACCCTGGCCACGGTGGTTCGAGGGGTGAGCCTGGTGGTGGTGGTGGTCGAAGTGGTGGGCATCAACCTCCACAGGTTGCCGGTGTAATTCTTGGACGGCGTGGGCGGCGCGAACGGCCCTGTTGGGGAAAAACGGGATTAGTATGAGGGTGTTTTTGGGGGTGACGAGGCACCTACATGAAGGGTTGGCGTTGCGGGGCGTCGGTCTCAGCGTGGTGATGAATCGGTTGAAGAGAGTCGAGATGGTTGTAGAGGCTGGTGGTACTGTGCGCAAATCGAACATCTGCTCCGGAGAACCTCTGTGCGTGCCTAATATCGCGTTAGCGTTGCGAAGATTGTGGTATTTCACGCTTTCTGTAATATTTCTTAACTTAGAATCGCTCAAAAGTTTTGTTATAGTTTCATACTTACCGGTGAATACCGCTTCAGTGGTTATATTCGTTCCGTTAAAGTACCTCACGTGGTATTTCGTGATATCCTTCAAATACTCGATGAAGAAGGTCCTTATCCAAACGCAAATGTTTGTAGCTACAATATGCATCAACCCGAAACGTGCGATAACTTTAAATCGATGAATATTCAACTGAAAATTCCCAATAATAATCACTCTTGCTACTAACACAATTCTAAAAACTTACCCTCGAATTCATGAAGATAAAATACATCTGCATGAAAGTGAATATCATCTGCAGCACGGGATTCACCCCTTTCAAGATCATATAGCACGGCGAGTTGAACGGTATCTCGAAGAACAGCCCGAACTCCAACCCGATGTAGATCATCGTCCCCAATCCGAAAGCTGCAAAAGAAACCCACAAGAAATTGATCGTTCGCATATCATCCGCCGAATCTGGTCGTACCGATGGCTCCGATCCGCAGGAAGAAGCTGCCGTGGCTGCGATCGCTCTGCGACGTCTTGCGCTTGCACCGGCCCCTGCCCTCCGAGCCGCCTCCCTCGACCGTCTCCGGCTCGCCGCCGGGAGGCGGTTGGGCGGACGGCGGGGCGGCGACGGGGGCGACGGGCGCCGCGGGGGTCGGTTCCTGCGATACAACAGTAGCACCTTGAGATTGAGTTATCTCTTCTACGGGCACCGGCACGGCTGCCAGGCCCGCGTCAACCACCCCTTCAGAGTTGCGCCGGTAGGTGCTCTACCCCCACAAATCAAAAAACAGTAAATAATACAAAATGTATGGCGATGGGCGTTAAGCAGTCAGGAAGAAGGGTCCCATAACTGTACGTCTTACTTGGTTTCAGCGCGCTTTTGATACCGGTTCTGGTTGGTGGGAAACGCGTTATGGCAAGCGAACAATTAATTTTATGGTTTACTTTTATTTGATACACTCTTCCCTTATCTAGTTCAATTACTTCGATTACTCGAATCCTTTTTTCTATATCCTCTCTTATGCATCAAATTGTTTGTGAACATTTTTTCAACAATGAGAGATTATCCAATCGAGTGCACTAATAAATTAAACTCAATTAGGAATCTACCTTCCTTTGAGGATCCTCATAGATGCAATTAAGGATCCAATATCACTGCTTTACTAAAAGACGCTAAAATATTAGACAAATTTAAGTTCGTTTTGTGAAAGGGTAAAAAACGCTACCCCTGGAGGGGTGTGCTATTGACATTTCGATTCGTGAAAAGTTATCCTTTATCGTTTGATAGGTGGTGGTAAATGTGGTAAATGTGTAATAGAGAAACGATGAAGAAGAAAAACAGAGGGTGTGCAATTAGTTATAGAATAAAATATGTACAAGAATAAAAAAAGGGAGGAAATGTTAGATAGTACCCTTTCGTCCCCAAAGTGTTCGATAAAAGATAACTTTTTCTGAAAACTCATCATATTCAAAACTATCTACCGACCACGACTTTTACAATATTTTTTTGTCAGTATTTTCGAATTCCCTTACCGCATCGAATTGCCATTGCACGGATATCGGCTGGTTGGCATCTTCGGGCTGTAAAAATGAACAAATTCGATCAAAATGGCTTCCAATTCGTGAATTAGAAGATGAAAAGTGAGTATCAAAATTTCGTTTGGGCCTCTTCCAATAACTGCTTTAAAACGAAAATCATAAATTGTGTGAATTAAACAAAAAACGAAAATTTATCTATCTTCACGCTCGCACTGTTCATTCCATCGGCTTATAACAACTCAAAAGACATTAAGTAGGTACAATTAATTACTGACCAGCATAATAAATTTAATTGTGATGATTATATTACGACTACAACAGCGTGAAAATAGACGACAATTAGACCAATTAATTTTAATATTGTGTTATTTATTGTGCGTGTAAGTTAGTTGGTTTAATGGAGTTAGTATTTTTATTATCTAATTCGGCTTTAGAACTATTGAAAATATTGGCCACTAGTACAAAATGTCTCTAATTTCATACACAATGAATCAAAAAAATATAATAAAAAGGAAACTAAAGGAAACAAAAACAAAAAAAGTGAAGGAATAAATGGATAAAGAAAGTTGTAGTAAGGAAAATCATCTGAATCAGTGCGTATGAAATATTATTTTGTACTCATAAAATGATTTAGATAGTAAATTAACCATGCTTTGAACATTTCCTATTTAAACAAAATCGACATCTAAACGAATAAGTTTGGTCTAGTCGGCTCTAAAAAAAATGAATAATGAACAAATTATTATTGGTCGAGGCTTATGAAAAAAGAAAGTTACTGGTTTTGTGATATGGCGAGCACCGTCCCTTTTCCAGTGCTCCAAACGGAGCGGTTGCATGTCGAAAACCACACCACACAAAAAAATCGCTAATCCACTATTTTTAGAAACCACTTCCAAAAAAAAACACTAAAAAAATCAAAATTTATTCAGTGGCCATTTCAAATCTACTAGACATGTCACTTACGAACATCCCCGCCGCTCATCTTCTCTCTCTCCTTGTCGATAAAACGCAAAAGAAAGATAAGCATGCACGATCATTCACTACATATTTATTTCTCATCTTTCATCTCCACAATCAGCAACTAACGAGTGATGAAAGAAGGGGATTTAAAGGGAGTAAGTGAAGGTCTTGCATTCAAACATTCTCGTCCATCATCAAAATTTTTCTAAATTGGTGTAAGATCAATTTTGTAAATGTCTGTCTTTTTCGTTCACGATCGCTGAAGAGAGAGGTTGACGCTTAAAGATAAATGTGATGCAAAGTGACGCTAGTTTCTACTAAAAAGAAAATTAACTACACGCACCAAACAAAAATTGTGAGTTGTGAGCAAATTAAATCCAACTAAATCTACCACATACTAAACACCACCATCTACTTGTTTGCAAACGTGTGAGTAGTCAACAAATTTCGAAAAGATAATCGGTTTTTTCCGGCACCATTTCGAGCAGAACTTCGAATTAAATGTATTAAGCACCAAATTGCATTATCAAATTCATCGTTGCAACGAATTGATGCCGGCAAAAACCTCCCATCCCGCGCCGAAATTCTACCTTCTCCTGCTTCTTATCCTTCTTATCTTTCTCCTTCTTCTTCTCCTTCTTCTGCGCCTCCGCCTCCTTCTTCTTCTTCTCCTTATCCTCCTTGTCCTTCTTCGCCTTGGCCTCCTTCTCCTTGGCCTTGTTCTTCGCCGGCGGCTTCGGCTGCTTCTCTTCGGCCGTGCAGCACGAGCTCTCCTGCAGCAGGAAGCAGAACACGTACAGCAGGAACAGGATGCTCAGCCCGTACAGGTACGTGAAGAACCCTTCGTAGTAGTAGGGCGGGATGTTGTGGGTGACGATGTCGGAGACGACGTACGCCAGGCAGATGACCACCAGGAGTTTCGCGTACACGAAACTGGTCACTATGAACAGGGATGTCCTGGACATAAAAAAAAATTCCGTGTTAGTGGGACTCCCGGTATGAATGAGCCGTCACGTATTCCTATTGAAATTCGAAAATAAAAGACCGGCAATCGTCGAGTTGGTAAATACCGTTCATTTCCGGCCGTACGTGAAAAGAAACACCCTTTATTGTGGAGTTTAATAAGTAAACGAGGGACCAGATAATAGCGTAAGTGACCGGGCAATCGCCGCCGATGTTAATGGGTTCACAAAAGTGGGCAGTGACAGCCCGATCGGCCTCTTTTAATCCCTATACAGGAATGATTTGTTTGAATCAACGATTAGTTTAAACGCCTCGAATGTGGAGGAACGTTGAGGATATAGATTGGATTACCTTTTGTCGGGTTTGGGTTGGACGTGCTTCAGGTCCATGTCTCTGAGGGCGTTAGATTTTTCGGCGTCGGTGTCGTTCGCGGCCCTGGAGGAGACCGGAAGGGTGGCCGTGTTATCGATGGACTCGGCTTCGACGGTGGCGACCTTCATTCCGGCGGAAGGCATCCAGAAAATTCACCCCGAAAACCGCCCGATCAAACACCCATCATTCCGGCGACCGAATCGATTTTTTTTGCGAACGATAAATGCCGGAGGGATTCGACTCGATTGATCGTTTTGATACTTTTACTTCGATTTTGCGATGGTTTAACGGCGATCGGGGCTCGGTGGTTCGCGTTCCCGGCCGATTTTTTCATTCACCATAGCGACGGATTTATTCAATAACGGCGGTTCGCATCGGGAGGGCTGCGGAAGCACTGAGACGCCTAGCATTCAGGAAGGGAAGCTGCAGAGTATCACGTGGGCTCGTCGGCAGCCGCGCCATTGGTCCGGCTCACAGCTTCCCGGGATTTTGACCTAGTAAACCCTCTCAGAGGCGACCTCACCCAAATCTCCCGAAATTATCGCTAACAATAAACATCAACAAACTAAAACATCTATTAGCAATTAATTTAATAACTCTAATACTTAAGTTATTTATTCATTAAATTCGTATTTTATCTCGGCGATTTTTATCTAATAACCACCCAAACATATTTTTTTCAAGGTCGGAATATTTTTGTAGAATCTGGTTTAAAAATTGCGGTGTAAAATCAACGATTTCTGAAGGGTTTAACTGGAAATCTGCGATACGTTCAAAGAGGGTAGTTTATTGATCCCCATCACAGCATCCCTACTCGAAGTCGGGGTGGTGCAAGCGGAATTAAACGCGACGTTGCCAAAAATTCTGTTTCTACGTTCTAAGGAAACTTTAAACACACACCTCATCAACCCAACTATACCCTTTGTTACATTTTTACCATATAAATTAGCAGAAACTCGTAATGGAAATACTGTGTTCGGAAATATTCATGTTCTTATCTTGATCTTCGCGTAATTTTAACATCGGCAACGTAGGGTGCTAGTTTACACTGTTTTCCCTTTGTTCTCCCTGAACACGACCAGATTGGCGCTTCAGACCGTGTTTAGTTAAACGTAAGTATGGGAATAATTAGTTTAATACGTGCCCTCTATGGTGTGTAATTAATAATAAAATGTTAAAGGTGCTTAAAATTCAATAAATAAAGAAGGGCTTGACATGTATGCATTTCATTAACCGATTGTACTGAAAAAGATTTCGGTTTTTTAATACGACTGGATTGTTGATTTGGACCACATTCTTACCTAATCGCAATAAATAATAATAGGTAAGTATGCAAAAGGAAATTCGACTGATAAAATCTAAAAAAAAACGGAAGTAAAATATGCATAATATAAATTAACTGGCATTTTTTTAATTGGAGTGTTCCGTGAATGAAGTTAATTTACACCTTTATTTTTTACTGCAATCCTACGCATAGTTATCGAAACGCTGGAAAGCGAAATGGAAAAAACACTCGGGGGAAGTACGCATTAATTTGTAAAGTTAACACCTTTACACATTCACCCCTTCATTTTTATTAGGTCAACCTCATCCTCTATCCCTCATATCCTTTATAGACTTTTATCCTCAAACTTTTACTGTATCGTAACTTTTATTGATGTACAGAGTTTAAAGATGTACAGAGTGATACGAATAGCTGGAGACGTACGATGCGCAATGTAGGATAAACGTGTGGTACATTTATTGAACAATCATTGGTACTTACTTGGCGTTTTTGGGGAAAAATTTCTGGCATATCGGGAAGAATTTGCTCTCCGGTTTTTCGGCCACTAAAGGAGTTTGTTCCACGCTGCGCGTAGGCGTAGTACGTGTGTGCGTGTATCCAGCATTATCTATCTGCAAAAGATAACAAAAGATACCCCTTCAAGCAGGAATATAAAAAAAATCCATTGTTCTAATTAAAACCAAGCCGTAAATTTCATTACATCATGACATAATGTTCGTATTTTTGAGTAACGAAGCGGCAAATTGTTACAACGCGCTGGGTTTTTTTTTGGACACTGTTCAAATTTGTCACACAACGCTCTTCTAACCTTGATAACCGCGTGCTATTTTCGATACGCTGCAAGACGATAAAACGTCGTTCTTTAGGAAAATGCTAGTTACCGTGAAACGGACGAATTTTTTTCGAGACTCCCTGTATACGCTCGGATTAATTGCTGCTCACAATTGCGCTGTACGTGACACATGCGTCTTCGAGGGCACCTAAGCGTAAGAGCGCTCTCCACAACAAGGGTTAATTTTAAAACAGGATGCACGGAAAAAATTAACATTAAGTGTAGGGTGACTTTCGAGGGATCTACTCGAGACGAAAACTCCAAAATACGACGGTATTAATATTTTAACAGGCACTACCTTCTGGAGGAATATCGCTGTAATAAGTCGAATCGCCCTGTACACAGATTATTCGGAATACATTGACAAAGAACTCGAGGCGTCTGACCTTTCATATCGATTGCAAGGGCGATTCAATACAAAGATATTTATTCGGAAAAAACAGGGGGAGAAACGGCTCTTGTTCGTGCATCTCTCAACTACGTAGTAGTCATGAATTAGTTTTACAGGGTGGATCACTTAAGCAGTTTAGAAAATATCGAGTACGAGTAAGTTTTATACATAAATTTTATATTTCTGGATAATGAGGTTACGTGGAATATGTATACAGATGTTACAGGGAACCGCGAACTAATTTACACAAAGTAAATATAATCGAAGAATAAATAAACATTACGGTGTATCTATTGCTTATTTTTTGAGAAACTAACCCATCAGTTTGGAGTAAATGAACTCATGGTTTATTAAATCATACAGGGTGACTTATTAAAACTTAAATCAAGAAATACATTAGGAAAGTTATTAAAAGCAGTTATTAAAAGTGTGTTGTGTTGTGCACCCTGTTTAAAGCGTATAAACGCGATTCTATTTTCAAAATTCGATTCGAAAATATCGGTCATCAAACGATCGCGTTCGTAAAACAAGCAAGTCTAATTATTTTTAGAAAATTTACATTTGTATAAAATTGTTTAATTTCAAAACATTTTTAGACTGTGTCTCATCTACGCGGTGGGACAAGAAAAGCAGAGATAATAAGATGATGTATACAGATAAGTGCAAATTTGTACGAAATTTGTTGTATATAGATGCAACAAAGACAACTTCCATTAGTCTTGTATAAAGGAAAAAGAAAGGGTGATATTGTCGGATTGCAACTTTCTCATTCTCACAGCTGTTATTTTAATAATTTTCGTTGTTCAAAAATTTGCACTTGACTGCGTATTGTGTATACAGGGTGTCGCGGAGTGGACTCACTTTAACGACGGTGGCAACCGGCAGTTTGGGCTGTATAAGCGGCTGTTGGTCCTTCGGTAAAGGCGGGCACGGAGGCGGCACCTCCTTGGGCATGATGATTTTCGTCGGTACGCTGTCTTCTAATAGCCGTTCCTTCATTTCGTAGAGGTACGGGCAGCGCTGCATTTTCCCACTGCGCCGCTACTGAAACCAAAATTCATTTCGGAATTTCAGCCTTACACAGAGGGTAAACGGGTAAACTGGGTTTCCTGATGCTGAAAAAAAGAGCGTATTTTTAAAGGGGAAATTTACGGGTTCACTAAATTTATATACTTGATTATTTTTAGATGGCCTATTTGTTTTAATAGGTTTATTGATGTAAACCGACATTAATTGATCGTAAAAAAACACTCTACATGCAAAATCTAGGTGCAAAAATGTTCAACCCCGAAACTACTCTACTCCACTACTGTTCTATTTATAACCGCCATTTTTACGTTTTCCGCGAGGGCATTACCCTACATGGCAACAAGTTTGTTTGTTTTGGAAACCGATACGACGCCCGGACGTTTCGCACGAAAACCCTTTGTTTTCGGATCTAACTCCGCTTAGAACACTAATAATAATACCGGAAACGAATAAGCTGCACCCTCGTCGGCGATACAGCAGGAACTGAAACCAACCAAACCGAAAAACGATCGCCTAGGTGCTCCTGCTGCTAGCAAACAATGTTATTGTGTTATTGTTATGCGACGGAGCGTTCGGAAATTATATCTAAAAAGGGCCGCGAGAATGCGAAACAGATGCGTTAAAATAGACGAGGAAGTCGACGACAGGAAGTCGTCCTACTTGCAGGAGAAGCACGCACGGATTCCGGCACGCTCGCCGACGAAACCGAAAAAATTACATGCTACATACAATAACAATATCTTACCGGCTCTATTGTCTACAAAACTAGCATGAGAAATCTAAAGTGAACACATATCAATCACTGCACTCTCCGAATGCGTCGGTGTTTACATTAAGAGTACTCTGTAAATAGATCGGCTGGCTAGGCGGATGAAATGTAGAATGAGTTTTTCCCGATTTCCCGCACCTATTGCTACTGCGCGCGTGTTTCGCGTCAATTTCGACCCCTACGGGGCGACGGCAACCCCCGCGATGTGTGTGCGTGCAGGGACGGAGACTGCAGGGCGCCTTCCACGGCACAGTGAACCTTCAAAGGCGCTCCGTGCTCCAAAACGAGACTTGCATGCAATATGCAATTGTTGATTAGTGCATTATACTCTTTCCGAAGGGGAATTTTATTGCATTTTTAGGGAGGAAATTTATTAGACGTAACTGAAAAATCTCAGAAATTAGGGCTCCAAAAGGAGCATTAGTGAGGTTTGTATGATATATCCAATTTTGAGTCATACAAGGTATTGTTAAATATGTTATTTACTAAAAAAAAATGCCTTAATTTTTGTAGAAATTTTATAATTTTGAGGATTTCCTTAGGGATTTTTTTAATAAATTTATACTTACCCTACAATCTATTAAACATTATATCTCAGTTCGTGTTTAGATACACAAGTTTTCCGTACTTTTTTAATATTCCTGCTGAATGTTGCGCCATTGGTTGTAGATGAAAAGCGTTTTTTTTTATAATTTTAGACCCATCTCCGGTCCCGAAGTTCGTGTGATGAAATTTACCCTAGCTGGTGATCAAACACAATCTGAGGTCGCGAAGGGACGGGCGCAAGGGGCGAGCTAATTGAGGAAGCAAATTGGGAATCGGTCAAAAGTGAACGCTATCGACACAAGTCTAACGTGTAACCTATTTTAGGGTTGGAAGAGCCAATTTGTTCCTTCACAGCGACGGTCTCATAAAATTATGCTTCGGTGGAATATGAGGACATGTGAAATGAGTTTACAATTATTTTTTTATTAAATATTCCACAACCACAAGTGTTGTTTAGTTAATTGTAGATATAAAAAATGTTAACGATAGGAAATACACCTTTCTAATGAATGGGATTTCTTACGGATTCATTAAATACTGCTTAAAACAATCAATTACTACATAATACAATTCCAAAATACTAATTAACGTAGTAAGGTTTACTCAAAGTTGTTAAAAGTGTTGCCTACATTCTGTCAAAATCGAGGCCTAATCTGTTGCAGCCATTCGGACACTCCGACTTATCGTTGCATTAGCCACCGACAGCTGTCAACGAAATCCATATGATTGTGACAGTTCACGTGAAAAGTGAGCGTTCGCTTTCAAAACAAGAACCAAGAACCTGTAACCCGCTCAGTGATATTAGTGACAAGTATCCAGCAGTGTCGAGTCGAAATTCCAAGTACAAGTGCGAAAAACCAGGCGCTCCGCTCGTTTTGGATGTTGATTCGTCGGCGTCCTCGAAACGGCGAGATCGAAGAGCACACACAAGATTGATAAGCGATCGGGACATTATCGTTTCATTGTTGAAGCGCACTTACGTACAACATGAGCTAGGCGAGAGAGCGGGCGATAAGATAAAAACTATTTTCGCGATAGATGCATTCGTGTTGTCAGAGCGCTACAGAGATAGTTCGATTCCGTCTTCCCGTGGATTCCGTTTCGAGTACGAAACAAAAGCAGTACATCAAACATGGCGACCGAGGTACTTTTGAAAAACAAATCGCCGGACGTGAAAGTGCAAATAGTACCCAGTGGCATTAATAAGAAGTTGACACATTTGCCCGAGAGGCCCAAGGTGGATTTGGCCTTCTCCGATTTACAGTACGTCGTCAAACAGGGAAAAAGTAAGTTTTAATTCGCCCCCCTAATTGATGCTTTTTAATTAATTTGTAAGTATCGGAAACCTTGAATTGTATTCTAATTTTAACCGTATTTCGTTGTATTGTCGCTTTAGATGTGTTTATAAAAAATTTCCGATACACGCGTGAATGCTTTTCAAATCACTATAACGATAGTTTAGTTTGCTAATTACAAAAAAAAACATTAATTAATTTAATGAATTTTCGATTCCTTATTTTCTCTGATAAAAATGGATTATCTGCTGGTGACGTACCTATCGGATATTTATCTTGTAACTTAAATGTGGAATTAAAAATAGTTTATTTGACCTAATTGATTCGAATATAAATATCGGATATGGTTAGGTATTTTAAATTATTAAATTACTACAGCTCTTTGTTACAGCTCATAGAGCTAAAGTTGCTAAAAAAATGTTTTTCAATGACGTCTCTTCGATTTTGAAAATTTTTATTTAGCTTCTTTTCATGTTTGCAGATGTTTTGAAAAGCTCCACGAGTGCTTTTGTTATATCCTGAACAAATAAGTTATTTACTTGTGTTTGTTTAATAATTAATAAAAACGCGTAGAATAATATTATCATACATAGTATTTGAACAATGTTTATAAAAATAAATAAGTTCAAAACTTAACCCTACATTATCTTATATTTCCAACATTTTTGAAACTAAAATGTGCTAAAAATTTTTATTTTTTTCACTTCTTCGTCGCCTTGAGGAATCAGTTACTTAAATTATTTGGTTATTTTTTTTTTAATTTTAAAATAATGCAGGTTGATTCATTTTAGTTTGCAATCTAGGTTATATTAGTCCATGGGTCCGATAAAAACAACTTCCATTAGACTTCCTTATAAGGGAAAAAGAAAGAGCGATATTGTATCATTGCAACTTTTCACTCTGACAACTGTCACTTTAGTAATCTTTCCTTGTTCAACTAATAGAAATGACCATAAAGCAAACTGAAATGCACCATAGGGTATATGAATAACATATTTAAATTACACCTGTCAAAAGTATTAATTGACATCATAGCCAACTTCTTCCACACCTACACAAACCTAGTAGTAAAAAATGCGCGAAACTGTTTCCATTATTATGCGTAAAACAAAGAGACCGAGAATAGGTAAAACATTTTCAGTTACAAACCGAAGCTCGATAAGCGTAATTACCGTTCGTCAAGGCTATCAACGTAATTTACCGAAAAAAGCCATCACGTCGAATTTGTCACCTTCATCAGACGAGTTGAATTGCTCGCAACGAGCAAATTCTGTACAGAGCGTCCCGATATTTCGAATATCGGGATGAATCATCGGCGGTTTCTTTAATGGGACGATATCACAATGCAAATGCATGATAATGTTAACTTGTAAACCTCAAACTCAAAGTCCAATTACCGCGGAATTGGTTGTAGGTACAGATACAACCCGCAATTATGACCATTGTAAATGTATGGTTTGGTTGAAAAAACGTTCCTTTTTGATCGTGAAAACAATGAATATTTGTCCATTAACAATCGAATTAAAATAGGTGAACTGACCCGTCGAGGTCAAAAGTACACAGAACGTTTCCGACACGTTTACTGTCTCGGCTCTCATGAGCATTTCGGTCTAATTAATGAGCGAACGGGCCGTCCGCAGGAATTAGTTTAATTCATCGAACCTCGCCAATCGACTTTGCCTGATAATAAATTTTTTTATTGTTTCTAATGTCGGAATTAATGCGAAAAAAGTCCGCAAATCGTGTCCTTGATCGTTGCTCACCCGTGACTCTCGCGGCGTTGAACGCATTAAATTCGTTTCTCGCAAAATGCACGTTGTTAAAAATTCGCCTATTATTTCCAGATTGTATGTACTATGTTTTGAATGTTATCTGCATTGCGTTCGGTCTAGGTTAATTGACTTTTATTAACTCCATAAATCGACCGATAAGTAAATGTCTAGGAAATGAAAAAGGTTTGAGTGAAATTGTCGTTTTGGACACTTTCATTTTGATGTAGGTTAATTGTATAAGAATTTTTAGTAGGATTTTTATTGCTTTGTGCTTTCTGCAGGTATCTACTAATCGAAATCAATTTAATTCGCTATTTATTACTTTTTTTCTACCAGCATATAAACATGTTTATTACCTCAAATACATTTTTACCAATGGCAAACGTTCTCGCTTACAATATGGTAATAAATCCTTTATACAATGCTTTTTTATTTACTTACCACAGATAGCAATGACTTTTCATCGACGCAACCTCTTGCTGACCCAAATGATTACAATGTACAAATAAAATCGCATTTTAAAGGAAGGTTGTTTTCATTTTTCGCCTTGCAACGAAATAGAAATTACAGTTTCTAATAATCGAATTCTTATTACATAAAAAAGCATCATCTACCATTACTGACGTACATATGTAAATTGTTAAGTTGTATAACTGCCCAGAATCCTTATACGTACATTTCGCACGAATATTAGCTAAGTTTTTACAGAAATAGGCGCATACAAATTAGTTATAAAAAGGAAGAAGCAAGAGAAGAAGGATAACTTGTTTGGTTTGCGACATTACACATTTAAATCAACATTGAAACATATTGTTTTTTAGTACTAGATTTACAAGATTACTTCCTTGCTTATACCATTTTCCAGTTTTTAATTTTACCAGCGTATGTTATATTATAAATTAAAACTCTATTGCATTTGCAGACCTTGATAAACCCGTGTCAAAATAATACAAGTTCATTATGGAAATTTCGGCTGCATGCAATATAAAATTACACGTATACATGTATACATGTTAATAAAAAACGTATTAACTTTAATTGAATGATTGCAAAATACACAGAGAAAGTTTAATAATTGTAGTGATTTCTCGAAATATTCCGTTGGCGAACGTTATTTAATGATAACTTTGTGGCTTCTCTTGTTGCATTTATTTAATGTATAAAATATCAAAAATTTGCAACAGAACCTGCCTAGAAACTGTTTATTACTCGTTATTAAAATGCTGAAATATTTGTAAGATATTTTCTAAAAATAATATTTTTGTTCTTTGTACAGTTTCGTCATTTACATTGCTAAGTACATAAGTATGCTATCAATTAACGTCGCATTCAAACTAACAGCAACATTTCCAAGTTCAATGCAATTAACGTGTTTCGTTAAAAAGTCACGTTTCATTTTATAGTTTTCAAATTATTTTACATAATCGAAATAAAATTAACCTGAACACGTTCTGTGGCCAATTCGCCATATTTTCGTAAATAAATAAATCCATGCGTATTTCCTCTATACTAAGAAATTCTTATGAAATCCATCTACTTTAGAATTCTCTAAACGTAGGCTCTGATATACAAAAAACACAATTTGCATTTTAATTAACTTAATATTAGGTGAATCGTTTAATCAAGATAGCCTTTAATATTCGTGATAATAATTTTAACGAATTCGCCACAAAACAAGTTAGTTTTTTATGGATTTAGCCGAATGTTAAATTTTTACTACGTCTTTGTCTGGCTCTAAAAAGGATAAAAATAAGTTTACTACCATCGGTGGAATTTACGATCGCCCTTGTAAGGATAACGGTCTCCTTCCGACAGGATAACATCAGTATCTCGTCATAATAAAACAGCCATTTAGTTCAAACATCGTAATTTCGAAGAACGTGGTGAATAAACTTTACATAACAATTTACTTTCCCAGCTTTATGAGCCGATAACCGAAAGTTTAAATAAACGTTTATTTCGCCATAGTAAATAATAATTTCTCGATTAAAAAAAAACGCACAATAAAATTGAGTGCATTTTGTTTTGTTTGCAGCACGCTCAATTCAACCGGACACAAAAGTGATTAATACGGGAATTTTAATAACTCGAGAATTGAATTTTCACGCCAACGATTCGTGTTAACGTTTATCTGTAGGAATTGCTAGGAAAACTAACTAAGCGATTTTGGGATGAGCGTACAACTTTAACGTGGAGATTAATCGACATCACCTCGTATAAAAGTAATTAGTCGAAGTAACTAGGTACTTGTGTACGTTGAAAAAATAATTCGCTTCTACGACAATCATCATCGTTAGATATTGAATATGCTGTTTTAATATCGTAGGAGATTAAATAATTATTCATTGTGCGGTCGTTCGGAGACTTTGAACTTTGATTCGGAATAATAAAACGATAAAAACGCGTAATTATTAAAAATATTTTACATCGAATTCATACACATGAAAGATTACTTTTTAATAAACATTTCCGTTTGCATGGAGTAAATACAAGGCGACACTTTATAGAACCTATAACGTTAGGAAATTATGTTAATTAATTTAGTTTTTTTTGTTGAAATAAGTATTTAATTTTGTCGTTCCAAGTAAACAACAATTAAATACTTTATTTCATCGATTTTTTTCATGTCTCGATTAAAGTTTAAGTAGGTGCAAATACGAATGATTTATAGCTCCTTCACAACAAAATAATAAAAGTTTAATGTATTTTTCTTTTGAGAAAAAAAAATTAACTCCTATTAGAGCAAATAAATATTTTGCCAATATCTTGTAATAATTAACATGTTTATGTATTTATGCGAAATTCAAAGTCGACTGGTAAACATTAATTAACCGGTTCGTTATTGTCTACAGGGTGTTATTCAAACCGGAATGTATATAATTTTTCCCATCGTTAAACGAGAAGCTACCTACATGAATAGTACTATTAATTACAAAATAATAAACCTTCTACCATTATCAATATTTCATAATTCGGTTGTCCTAAAAACATAGATTAATAATGGAAGCCATTCGTTTCAAAACATCTGTAATTGCGGTAAAGTGCAGATGAATGACATTGATCTCGATTCACTCCAATTCCACATCAACTTAAGGCGATGTTACTAAAACTTAAAATAAAACTTGTATTTTTTACGACCATATAATCACACACATCGACAATATGAATGTACTTACGTTAGAAATAACCGATAATTATTTAACAATTAAAATCAACTACACGGCTAATTGCAGTTAATTACGCGTGCTGTAGTTCAAGAGGCTGTCGTGCGTAATTGATTTTGCCCAGGGTACTGGCAAAATATTTCGCTTTATACAAGGTGATTCCACTTGTAATCGATCGCTGATAAACTCCATCCTGACGATTCGTTTTATTACTTATTTTCAGAGCAAAAATTAATACTGAAAAATGTCAGCGGTCAAATCCGATCGGGCGAACTGTGCGCCATCATGGGTCCCTCTGGCGCTGGAAAATCCACGCTGCTCAACATCCTCACGGGATACAAGTAAGTACGATCCGAATTAAACGCTATAAAAAACCAACATTGTCACGATCACGTAGGACCGAAGGTGTCAAAGGCCACGTGTTGATGAACGAGAGGGACAGAGATCTGAGCCAATTCAGGAAATTATCCGCCTACATAATGCAGGACAATCAGCTGCACGCTAATCTTACCGTCGACGAGGCGATGGCCGTCGCCGCTAAACTCAAAATAGGCCAGAGCAAGTTGCAGGATTTGCAGGATATCGTAGGTATAATTAGCTAAGCGAATTCGCTGGGTTCACCGTGTTTTTCGTAACAGATAACCGAAATCCTGGATACTCTCGGTCTACTCGACCACAGGAAAACGATGACCAGCGGTTTATCCGGAGGCCAGAAGAAACGATTATCGATCGCTTTGGAATTGGTAAGCAACCCCCCGATAATGTTCTTCGACGAACCCACCAGCGGCTTGGACTCATCCTCCTGCTTCCAATGCATATCTCTACTGAAAACTCTAGCCAAAGGTTAATAATTTCCGAAAATTCCGTCAAGCGTTCCGTCTTCATACGCTCTGTTTAAGGTGGAAGAACGATAATCTGCACGATCCACCAACCTTCCGCTAGATTATTCGAAATGTTCGACCAGCTGTACACCCTCGCCGAGGGCCAGTGCGTGTACCAGGGCTCCACCAGGCAGCTGGTGACGTGGCTGGGCCACTTGGGCCTCCAGTGCCCGTCCTACCACAATCCCGCTTCCTACATCATAGAGGTCGCTTGCGGCGAATACGGGGATCACACCAGGAAGCTGGTGTGCGCCATCGAAAACGGTAAGTTGACCGGTAACCGGCAAAACTGCGATAACCCACGATGATTGGTATTCAGGTAAAAACGACATTCGCGACGGTAAGCCCTTCCCCGAGGTGAAGATAAACGACGGTTTGAACAACGCTTACCAATACGCCAAGGAGCAGATGGGGGCTCTTACGGCCAAAGATTTGGCTAAAGAGTCCGGTGACGCTTTGAAGGATAACAATTACAAAGCGAACGGTAACGGGAAGAACGAAAATTTCGAGGACGCCTCGAAGGACGTGGAGAAAGCGAACGTGAATAGTGCCTTGTTATCGAATTCTGTGATAGTTAAACAGCCCAGATACGGGAATACCGAGTTACAACAGTTCTTTATCATCTTGAAGCGAGCCTTGCTGTTTAGCAGAAGAGACTGGGTAAATATACGATTCATTTGCGCCCGGTTTATAAATATTAAAATATGTTTTTTAAATGCTTTCAGACGTTGATGTACCTGCGTCTGTTCGCCCATCTGTTGGTGGGTTTCCTAATCGGTGCCTTATACTTCAAAATAGGAAACGAAGCTTCGAAAGTACTTAGCAATTTGGGTTTCCTGTTCTTCAACATGTTGTTTCTGATGTACACTTCCATGACAATCACCATTTTATCCTTTCCGCTCGAAATGCCCGTGCTGCTTAAAGAAAACTTCAATCGATGGTACTCCTTGAGATCCTACTACATGGCAATTACTATATCAGACATGCCCTTCCAGGTAATAATAACAGTTATACGAAATTTTGATTCGGTGATTAATTGTCGATTTTTCAGACGATATTTTGCGTCATTTACGTGACGATAGTGTACTTCATGACGGACCAGCCGTTAGAAGCGGAAAGGTTCGGGATGTTCCTGCTGTCCTGTTTACTGGTATCGTTCGTAGCACAAAGCGTGGGATTAGTAGTAGGAGCTGCAATGAGTGTACAGGTAAACATAGCAGGTTTTTTATAATTCCATTCTATGAAGCAATAAATTTACACTGCGAAGTAGAGGAGAGTAATCTGGGGAACGATATTTGAAAAATAACGCTTATTTTGTAACAATCGGTACTCCGCCTCTATACAAAAAAATTATCCCCACCTCTATTAAATGTCATTCGAACTGTCATTAATGTCAATTTGGGCAGTTTTTGTATATGTATCATCGAACACATCTTAAAGTCCTACTTATTCCGCGTACAATGCGACAAAAAAATAGTAATTTAATTTCTACAAACTGGGAAATTTGGAAATATGAATATGTAATGTTTTTAGTGAACGTGAAAAACTAATTTTAGTCGTGTATTTTTATTTCGTTTAGGAAAAGGGATTATTCGAGTTCATTGCAGTTATTGAAAATTTTTGTTTTTGTTTTAAAAAGAAGAGCAATGAATGAATGTTCACTGTAAGTGTAAAGTACAAAGAGAGTCGAAGAGAATGGATGAGATGAGAAAAGAGTAGAAGAGAGTAGGAGTAGAGTAGAGTAAGAGTAGAGTAGTGTAGTGTAGAGTAGATTCTCAATCATTAAAAGAATTATTTGGTGATTTTTTTATGGACTATTCGCCTAATTTGCCTGTAGCATTAAAATCTATAATCCCTTTTGCGCCCAATTTACACCCCTTCCCTGTATACGGGGTATTTAACAATAGTACACCGTTTTAAAGTTCCAGAAAAAGCATGCTTCTGCGATATTATTCGCCTGTTCTCGAACGGAGTATAAATAAAGCATTAATTTCAGAATGGAGTATTCCTGGCACCCGTGATGTCCGTACCGTTCCTGCTGTTTTCCGGATTCTTCGTCTCCTTCGACGCGATTCCGATTTACCTGCGCTGGATCACCTACCTGTCCTATATCAGATATGGATTCGAAGGGACCGCTCTGGCTACGTACGGTTTCGACAGGCCCAAATTGAAGTGCTTCAATTACTGTCACTTCAAAGATCCGAAGACCACGCTGGAGGAACTGGACATGGACAAGTCGAGTTTTATGGTCGATATTCTTGCCTTGGTCGGGATATTCTTCTTTTTAAGGGTGGCCGCTTACCTGTTTTTGAAATGGAAACTCAAGTCGAATCATTAAGCGTATTTTTTTTTTATTTTAATATTTGAAATTCCAAAACGTTAGACTGTGTGATTCATAGAAATTCGTCGATAATATGTAATGTTATTAAAATTGTTGAAGATAAGGATGTAAATCCTTAAAATGTAGTTTTTTACTGTTATTTTATATTAACAAATATAAGATTAAGAATAGAACGTCTTGCCCCGTTGTTAATTAATAACTTGTCTAGGGAATTTTAATATGTTAAAATTCGTCTCTCTTTATATTATTTACTTGAGTAATTTCCACTTGTTTACATGACTTACTTGTATTGATATTGTTGTTTCCCTTCTAAACATTATTATGTAGAAAAATGGTTGTTAATTTTCCTAAAACGTTTCCTAAATAAATCAAAAATATTTTTGTATTACGTCGGACTCCAAAGAAGGTCGCTCTGTTAATACACAATCGAACAATCGATAAATTTGTAAGGATAACTAAGGTAAAACCTATCTAGATGTAGATTTTTTAACGGAAATCAAATTAAAGGTTACTGTGTACAAAACAATTAAATTTATGTGATGGTGTAGTGATTTATATATAAAATATATTATGTATACAAACAGTACGAGTTTTATTGCATTTCACTTCTAAATAAATCTCCTATAAGTAATGAACTGAATACTCGCAGGATCTTAAAGGATTTCCTTCTTTAACCTCCAGTAGCTTAAGTCTGCAGGATTCTAAACAAAGCTCCAATCTACCCGAGTAAATCAATAAATCAATAGAAGTATTGAAAACTTTTGGGACACCCAGTATATTAAAGAAAGTTTGAACATATTCAAACACGAAATCGAAGTTGCCTCCGAGAACAACTGCAGAAACGATGACGTTTCCCAATGTTTGACGCGGCATTAGTTGAATGTAAAAAATTTTTGTAACCATTTTTGTGTCGCAGGGTCGTTTTTTTGTATCAAAAACTGCAGTGAAAGACACGATGAGATAATTTTCCAACAGCGACGAACCATTCGAAATGAGCCCTTCAACGGAATCGGGAACCGTAACAGGTCCGTTATGCTTAAACGTTACACAAGGATTCGAAAGTAAATCCTTTTTTCCAGAATGCGGCTCGATACTATCGGCGAAAGCGGGCTACTGCGGCTCGGAGAGGAAGAAGAGAACCGTGCGAAAAAGCAAGAAAGCGTGCCCGTGCGGCCCGAAGAAATCCCACAGGAAGCGGGTCAAATCGAAGAAGAAGTGCATGCGACCGGGCCCCAGCACCAGAAATCCTTTCCTAAATTTCCTCAGAGTCTTCCGGTTCGCCCTGCCGTTATCCCACTTAATCCTTTAACACTCAAAGCGCCTTTACTTTCAGGAAACAGCATTGCGATTGGTCTATAACTAAGATAGCAATAGAAGGAGCTAAGTGTTGGTGTAAATTAAGCAAAGAAGACAAACAAAAATTCATTAAGGAAGCGTGCAGAATGCAGAAATCGGGCAAGAGGCGGGTCAAATCGCGGAAAAGATCGAGATCCAGAGGACGTTGTTGAGAATTTTACTACAGTGAACACATCAAAAATTAAAAATAAGTTTTTTCCGGCCCTAAGGCCGCTGTAAATAGTCCGGTATGTCCACGATCCTGTGAAGTCTAGAATGTTTCTGTTTTTTATACACATTAATATAATTATATCAAAACACTCGATCGTTTTACATCGAAGGGATGAGACCGCGTTCGCGGGACATCCTGTACGACTAAATCGTTAATCGTTGTGGAACCGTCGCATTGGATTCGTGCGACTGTAAACCGTTCGGACTTATTTTAAGCACACCAAGCTGAGCTAATTCCCCCCACCGTTCCCGTTTCGTGACGCTCACGCATCAATCCCGAAATCCAGAGACAACCGGGCACACAAAATAATTAAGAAATGCATGGCATAACATTTAGTGAACACCCTTCGTAAACTCGACGGACGTGCCTCTCAAGATGTGAATATTTGTTTGTGCTCGATTGACCGATGACTGATGACGGTATTTTTTATTAGTGTTAGTATTAGCGTAGTCGCGAGCCCGATTAAGCGTTTTCATCTCGAAAAGCGTGAGCTGGCTTAGAAGATTTTTCGAAAAATACAGGCGAGACGCCGAAGTAAGTGTGCGGTTTTACTATTTTTTGCTATTATTAAATTTTGGGGAAAATGTATCTAGTGCATGTGCTCGGCCAGCGAGCGTGCCAAATCGTAAAAAAAGCGTGTTGCCGGAAATAACTCGGAGACATTACATTACCTACACTCGGATATTCGCTGTTACCTAATTTTTTGTCGGTAAAAGGCCCAGGAAAAGGGGAACCCCGACGCCCGTACCATTTTGTATCGCTTCAATAACGCGTTTGCGGCGCGAGATGTTAATTGGAACATCCAAGTTTGAATTGACTCGATGATTTGTTTACCACCAAGTGGAGCAATTCGATTAGTACTATTTAATTTTATTCGAGAGTAGTAGTTTTGAACCAAATTCGTTTAAACCGCCCGGTATTTTTTCTTCATTTTTACTACACCGAAATCTTTTAGAATGTCTCCTACAGCTGCGGTGGTTTCCCCATCGAGCGCTTTGCCATCTAAAATGTCTGCGACCCGGCCGAGTGCTGGCCAGCAGGATTATTCCTTCAATTCGCTATTAACATCGTTTCCTACTTCGAATTGGTACCATTACCAAAACAACGACCAGTACCAAGTAAGTGGTTGTTTCTTTATCAATAAAAATTCGCTGGTACAATGTACTTTTGTCCAAATAGACGAAACTTCTGAGTCCTGCATGGAACTCCTACCCGGCTAATCAGCAATATTCATTCAATCTGTACAGCCCCACGTACTCCAATCACAACATCTGCGATCAACTGTCAGATATAACCGATCAATTTACGGAATTGACGCTGGAAAGAAGACTAATTAAGATGCCTCCGCCTTCGTACTTGTGCCATTTGTGTTTCAAAAAGGGCCACTACATCAAGGACTGTCCGCAGGTTGGTGTGTTGATACGTAAACGTAAATTCCAAAGAAATTTGTTTAGTTTAGTCGCTTCAAGTGGTATCTTTCAAGGCGAAATTATTACTCGCTCGCTTCATCTATATTTTGACTTGACGACAGCAGTCGTCGAGGCTGTTTGTTTATAACAAATCCTTATCGCGTCTAAAGTATGAGAAGATTTGAATTACATGATAACAAAGTGCAGCTGGGAAACAAAATTCATAAATCATTGATTGTCGTAATTCGATAGCGATTGGATTTTCAGCAGTTTTGACGATAACGGACTTTCGGAGTTGCTGAATTCGCGTTTGCTTGCGCTCGATTGGAAAATTCTGCAATGAGACCTCAAATTGAGCGTGGTTTTCAGGCTCGTCCCAAAGGCGAGGGGAAGACGCCCTACCAAGGGAGGAAGCGCTGCTTCGGCGAGTACAAATGCCCCAAGTGCAAGAGAAAATGGATGTCTGGAAACTCTTGGGCCAATATGGGCCAGGAATGTATTAAGTGTCACATTAACGTCTTTCCGCACAAACAGGTACCTAAACGAAATATTTGAGGTTTAGGGGTTGCAATTTGTTTATTCGGTTTTTATTTATTGTTTTTTAGAGGCCGTTGGAAAAACCGGACGGGCTGGATGTTTCGGATCAATCTAAGGTTCACCCACAGCACTTGTGCCAGAAATGCAAAAAATTGGGGTACTACTGCAGGCGGGAGCAATAGTTGTATTTAATTTGATACAAGTTCGCTTCAATTTGTTTTATTTTTTATATTAAAAACGATGTTTCTATTTTATTTTATATTTTATTATGTTTAAGTGTCTTACTTTATTTTTTTAATGAAACATTTTTAAAATTGCAATCGATATATAATGTTACTTATTTAAAAATGTTATCGAAATATTAATGTTTATTTTTCAACAGTTTTTTTTATTTTCCTAAACAAGTCCATATAGTAGAATAAATGATAAAAATAAATAAAACTATACAAATATACACAAGTTAATTTTTTATTAAGTATTTCTCACAATTTTTTTAGTATAATTTAATACAATATAACGCTCAAATTTTATTTGTAAATATAAATATCTCTACATATAAGTAATAAAGTCTTTGTGTAAAAATAGAACAAGAATATTGACAACTACTCAGTACAAAAATAGTACCTAATTAATACATAACATTATGTACTTTTAAAGCATGTCACATGCAGTAATAAAAATATATCATTTATATATAAATTTTTAAAAAAATATCAGCAAGAATGGCGATATAATTACCTATCTAAAAATTTACATCTAATCAGCCTTATTCCAGTACATTTTTACGACTCCACTTATTATTGCAACAATAAAATAAACATAAACGATTGTACGAATCGGACAAGATTAAAAAATCGCAAAACGAAGTTGAAATAGGGCTGAATAAATTAAATAAATATCGCGAGAATCGTACGATCAGGAGAGTCCAAACAATTTCATCGAAGTGAAGGACGTAGCCAAGGCGACCTCTTCGGGTTTCTTATTCATAAAAGCCGCTATCATTTCCACAATGGCCGGTAGCGAGCACGGTTCGTTTCGTTGAAAAGTACAATAGCGATGCAAAAACATCGTCGATCTAAAAAATCAAAAAAAATTATACATTACATTCAATCGCTTTCGAAAACTACTCGCCGTTCGGTTAAACTGTCTTTCACGTTATCGGGTAACTTAGAGGCTCTCGTGTTCGGGTACATAAAAGGCGCGTCAGTTTCCACGACGAGTCTATCTAAAGGCAGAGTTCCTGATTCCAATAATTTTCTCACTCCGACATCTGATTTGTCTTTACACAGGTATCCTGCAAAAGAAATCGATGCATGTAACTGTATACAAGTACTATTCAAGTCCTATTGAATACCTGTTAGTCCTATGTAATATCCTTTATTCAGATAAGTCAAAGCTTGTTCCATTGTACCAGTAAAACAATGTATCACAACAGGAGGTAGTTTGGTCAGATATTCGTCTAAAATAATTAGCAAATCTTCGTGAGCGTCTCTTTCGTGCGCAAATATCGGTTTGTTCAGTTCGATAGCTAATTCAATCTAAAAATAACGAAAACGATATCAACACTCTCATTAAAATACACTCATTAATTATAAGTATACAGGGCACCTACCTAAGCACCTCAGAAAACAACAAAATAATTACAACGAGCACTCTCATAATATTCTCGCAATGAAAAAAAAAAATAGAAAGTTATTTGCGGCATTCGAACGTAAGATAACAATTCGAGCTGTTAGCGTGCTTGACATACTGCGAATTATTTTTGCGATGTAGCTGTATAACTACAGCGCTTATCGATAAGAGGCTGAGATGAAGCTCGTTACTTACGTGTTTTCTGAAAACGTTTTTCTGATCTTCCGGATCTGAGAAATTCCTATTATAATCGAGTCCGCATTCGCCGATGGCCACGCACTCTGGATTACTAGCTAGCTGTCTCAACTCGGCCCAGGACTCGTCGGTGTACGATTTCGCATCGTGCGGATGTATTCCTTAAACAGCACAATTAAATCTCTTGATACTCAGTACGTGTTGTTGTTTACCTGCGGTAGAGTACAATGTATTAGGGTATATCCTCGTCAACCTGAGTGCTTCTTTGCTGCCTTTAACCGAAGTACCTGTTACCATGATTTTCTGGACCCCTAAAAGGAATGTAGTGAGCAAATTAACGTTGCAGATTGGCCGTTTACTCACCCGAATCTTTGGCTCTTTGCACCACAGAATCTAAATCCCTGCCGTACTTCTTGTTTGTTAAATTAGCACCGACGTCGATGAGGATGTAGTTTTCGTAAAATTTCGCCATATCCAGAAGATCTGTGTCAGCATTTTCCACTTGAGCTGCCATTTTATGTAACTATATTTAATTAACAGTGATTTATTAATCTATAAAAATAGTAAATAGTAAATAATTTCTATTAATAACAAGTAATCACAGTTCGAGCCTCCAAGGTTATGTCTAAATTTGACTTTGACTTTATGATAAAATAGACATTCCGTCACATCAATCGGCTGGCCGGCTAACCTAATAATCGAGTCTATATTTCTAGATGTAGCGATCTGTCACATAAAAAATTGTTGAAAAAAGAAGATATTTTATTTGACAGTTTTGACATTTTCAATTTGGAAAAATGTAAATTGTTTTATTGTTTATATTTATTATAAAATAGTTATTCCTATATGAAATATAATGTCAGAGTTGGACAATTTTAGTAAGCAAAAGGTAGGAATTCCAAAATAAATCACTCTAATATTTTTACTGGCTTATCACAGAAGTTCCATGTTATTCAATCCTATTTATCCTATTCCAGATTTCGGCTTCGAAGGCTGTAAACGACGACGAAATAGTTACAGAAAGGACCGTGTACGTTTGTGAATTTTGCGACAAAGTGTTTTCTAGAAATTCCAACGTTAAGAGACATATAGCGGACATTCATTTCCCCAAAAGTGAGCCGAAGGAGAAGTTCATTTGCCATTTGTGTTCGAAGAGCTACACTCACAAAAACTCCCTAACGTTGCACCTGAGAAAGTGCGGTTTAAGCGATCAGAAGCACAGAAATGACGCATATGATTGTAGCATGTGTGATCAAACCAAAATCCACAACATTTCCGAACATTACAGGGCTGATCATGACGTAGACTTGTCTGTACGAAAATTTACATTCGACAATTTGACTGAGTTTTCCAAATGGAAAGAGGAAATCGAAGAAAGCACTATATCTAATTACGTGCTGAAATCCAAAAGCCAGCATAAGGATAAATTAATTTACTATTACCGCTGTCACAGGGACGGTTATTACAGACCCTGCGACCAGAAAAAGAATATACGAAGGAATAAAAGTTACAAAATAAACGGGCATTGTCCCGCAAAAATGACTGTCTCAGTATTAAACGAGTCAGGTATCGTCTCTGTCTCGTACATGCCAACGCACGTAGGACATACAATGGACTTAAAAACTATACCTCTTAAACCTTCGGAGCGGATTTTCCTCGCTGAAAAGATCCTCAAAAAAGTACCCTTCGATGTTATTCTGCGAGAAGTTAAAGACAACTTAAACGAAGAGAGTTCTCAGAGGCTCCATTTGTTGACTAGACAAGATTTGGTTAACATCGAAAGGGCTTATAGTCTGAGCAGTCACGCTGTAAGACAAAGCTCCTCGGTATCGAAGAAAAATGGAAAGAAACTTGAAGATGATTCGGATGTTGCCGATAACTTTTTAACCAATGGTCAAGCATTGGCTGAAGAGCAAGAGGCCGAAATGGTGGATGTGAAAAACGAATCGAAAGATGAAGAGTGCCCTGCGAGCGATTCTAGTGATGTTAAAAATAGCGATTTGCTGGAGCACAAGAATTTGTTGCTGAATAGTTTTTGTGATTTGGTGAATAAGGCCACCACGGTTCATCAGTGTAATGTGATACAAAATACTTTAGTCTCTCTAGAAACGTTACTTAATACATTTGCTTCGAATAAAAATAGTTAAGAGGGGCGTTGAGCACTTCAACAGTCGTACCAATCGCCCCTAGAATCTAGTAATTTTTCGTAGTTCCATTAATTGAACCAGATGGCGTTAGCTGTCTCAAAATTAAATTTTTAGCCAGGTTTTTAACCAGAGATATTTCAGAAAATGTACTAACAGGTGGCGCAAGTGCAGTGGATCTGAGAGACTATTTTCAAAGTAAATGTATTGTTATTGTCGCATTGTAAATAAAGTAAATTTGCATAAGCAGGTAGTCGTTTATGATTTTCCGTCTAATCGTTTTCGACCCCTAACACTCTGGCGAATATTCTCTCTATTTTCGTAGCGGCGAAAATGCATTTTTGCTTTTAGAATTTGCAAATTTCATTTTTGATATACGTATAGGTATATTAATTTGCAAATTTTATTTCAAATATCAACGACTATATAAATATTATATAGTTTATTAGTTTATTATCTTTCAATTTCTTATTGCAATGAATATAGTTAACTTTGTAAACTATAAATTATGTAAATTTGAAACACTGTATTTATTAATTTTTATAATTAATTACAAAGATATATTAATAATAAAGGTACAATCATTGCTAGAAAGACCAACTTTTGTCGAGTGGTACCTATATTACAATGGTATCAGGTGTCACTAAAAATCATGTAATTATCATATAGCGTTCATTAAAATACAAGGTGTCCCAATGAAAAGTAGCCCCTTCAGTGAGTTAATATTTTTTAAACGCCTAATGATAAAAATAAACGGTTTTGACAAATATATATTATTTTGAGAGAAATTTTGTATCGCCTGCACATGATGTTTCATAAAAAACCCCTCTTTAAAATTCACAATAACTAAATTTTATGAAATAGGACATCTTCTTTAGAATTAATATTTACTAATAATATATTTTTGAAAAGTAGAAGAGATTTATTATATATATAATAAAATATATTTGAGAAAACCGCATGTTTTTATGATTAGGCTTAGATTAGGCTTAAATTATATAAATAATTTACGCTTTAATTAAAGGCTCATTAAAGGGGCTACTTTTTATTGGGACACCCTGTATTGTATTGTATATACCTATGTAATATTGTAAAAGTACATGCAGGCGACAAAATGAGAGATGCGATTTTACTATCAAATATATTGAAAAACAAACACTCAATAAACATAATTCAGGAAAAGCACAGTTTCTGAGAAATTACATCAGCTCTATGAGAAATTTTTTAATTTTTTTACTGTAGCCTAAACGACTGGCATCAACTTTTTGAAAATTCCGGATGTTATTACACGCTGAAAAAAATGTTGCGTAAGATATTCATTATTAGACTGGTAGAAAAAGACGCTTCTATCTATACATTGATAGGTATATTCAATTCAATTTTGTAATGTCACAACGGTTGATATACCTAAAATACACTTTTACAAGTATTTCCAGGTCATTAGAAAAGCTGCTAGCGTTTTGCTCAAGAAACAATGAAAATATTATTTTTTTAGTTCTGAACAATTTTCGAAAATTTATACCGTCGCGGCATAGGGTAAGGAAGGCTCAACTAATCCTTTCATTTACCTAATAATTATTTAATATTATTGGGAATGATGAAAATGAACACCTACAGATATATTGAAAGTAGATCCAATCCAATAAAGTATTCCCAACTTAACAAGTCATTAAGGGTCATAAACTAGGAGATTAACAAGGGGGCCACCTGACGGGATCAATCCTTTTTTTTCTATATTTCTGGTTAAGGGATTTTATTAATGAAACGGAATTTCTATTTCATTCGAATTCAATGAAATTTACCTGTACAGAACAGTTTTCAAGTACTGATTTAATGATCAACCTGCCCTATGAAATGCCCGATACAACAACAAGTACACCGAACACACACTCCGATAATGAATATGCCTCCGATGAATTTGTAAGTGAAATAGTTCTAGTACAGCCACTCTGGGGTCGTAGGACTTGGGTGGGGACCTGTACAGAACAGTTTTCAAGTACTGATTTAATGATCAACCTGCCCTATGAAATGCCCGATACAACAACAAGTACACCGAACACACACTCCGATAATGAATATGCCTCCGATGAATTTGTAAGTGAAATAGTTCTAGTACAGCCACTCTGGGGTCGTAGGACTTGGGTGGGGACCTGTACAGAACAATTTTCAAGTACTGATTTAATCATCAACCTGCCCTATGAAATGCCCGATACAACAACAAGTACACCAAACACACACTCCGATAATGAATATGCCTCCGATGAATTTGTAAGTGAAATAGTTCTAGTACAGCCACTCTGGGGTCGTAGGACTTGGGTGGGGACCTGTACAGAACAATTTTCAAGTACTGATTTAATCATCAACCTGCCCTATGAAATGCCCGATACAACAACAAGTACACCAAACACACACTCCGATAATGAATATGCCTCCGATGAATTTGTAAGTGAAATAGTTCTAGTACAGCCACTCTGGGGTCGTAGGACTTGGGTGGGGACCTGTACAGAACAATTTTCAAGTACTGATTTAATGATCAACCTGCCCTATGAGATGCCCGATAAAACATATTCCGAAGATAGAAGAAGAGAAAAGTGGACCGATGAAACTTGTATATCAACTGTTTTTTCAACTGAGAACATTTCCAATCTTTCTAGTGATACGAGGGGAAGAAGATCCAAGATGCCAGAGGGAAAAACAAAGAAATGTAATGAAGATGATAACATTAGGTGTAAAAAATTGTTAAAGTAGTAATAAATTAGTAGTATTAAAACATGTTTACACAAATGAAATGTTTGAATTCTTTTCCTTACAGGTACAACAAATTTAGCATGATAGTTGAATTGAACGTAAGTCATATCATATCTCATAACTGATAAGTGTAAAGTTGCAAATCAAAAAAATTCCATACTAAATTTGTATGCCAATGATGAATATGAAAAATATACCTAAATAGTGCACGCTGTGATAAATGTTGATTTCATTCTAGTCTTCTATCTTCTATCAATCTTCGAATATTGTTTTACAAACAAATAAATAAATGCATGATATCCAAATACAATAACGTATCTTCATAATTAGTTATTGTTTGTTCAATTGCAACTACAAAGTAATAACTCGATAAAGTAAAATATAGTAAATGTAAATATTTTAATGTAAACATAACCAAAAAATCAATTTGACATCTTGTCTTATGTCTTATGTCAATACTCTATTTAGTTGGCAGCAATGACACTTACTATAAATTTTCGCTTGAATTCCCTCAATTCTCCTAAATTTGTCTAATGTAATACAAACAGTATGCCTTGTTAAGTGCACAAATATCGTATATTCATGAATAACCCTTTTTTTATCCTCCTAAAACTCATATCTACTTGAGCGTATGCAACCAACATTACCAAAGTATCCACAGTATCGTAGAACATACATAAACGTATCATTTTCGGTATCCCCTAGCGGCAAATCGATGAAGTTTTTTCCAAAATCCAGACTTTTCGGTGTACAAATCTCAAAAAATATAAAGAATATCGTTTCCAAATTTTCACAATACATTTCTATTACCCATCGCTAGGTCATAAAGGATTTTGGTTACCGTCCGTTAGAAAAAAAAACTGAAAAATGTCTACCTTCAAACGCTTGTAATTTCGTTATTTTTGCATAGATCTGTAAAAAAAACCTTTATGACCTACAGGAAGGTTCACTCTATCAGATGCGATTCATATTATATCTCAAAATTAAGTAAAACTTGAGATTTGTACACCGAAAAATCGGGCTTATTTTCATTGCTGCCAACTGAAATTGGGTTACCAAATCTCAACGCCCCTCTTAATATAAGTAAATAGTCAAATTTATTTTGTGAATACGTTTTTGTGGTTTTAATAATAAATAAGCAAAAGGCTATTTAAAAAAGAAATTATTATTGACAATTGACACTAATGACAGGTAGATGATTTTATTGCCGGTTTTTTAGGTTTATTGTTTAAAACTTTTGTTCACTTTAAATAAGTTTAATTTCTAATTTAATCGACTTATTTGTTTAAATGTAAGTGATAAATAATTTTATAAACTTACTACTTAACGTCCACATTCTTTTTTGTAGGTTAATCCTTTTTTATCGGCGTTATAACATTCAAATTTCGAATAATGAATCAAGAAGAATTAGTCGCATTGGGCAATGAAATCATAACGATAAAGCATATTGTGAAATGCCCCATTTGGTAAACGCGTAAATAATTTATTTTTACGATTTTTAACTGTATTTACGTTGTTTTAGTCTCGAATCTATCAAAACACCAGTGCAATTAGTATGTGGGCACATACTTTGCGTTAATTGCCATACAGATTTGAAAGCAACTAAAAATCAAAATTGCCCTTTGTGTAAGACGCCTGTAAAAAGACGCTCGCCTTTGTATGATGACGAATTTTTTGGTGTCCTGGGCACATGTATTTCCAAAATTTGTACCATAATAGAAAATGCAAAAGAGTTATCAAGTATATACAATCACAAGTAACCTCATAAGTAACCTTATTAATTATATTCTTATTTTAAGTTGAACAAATTGTGCGCCTTGATGGTACAACCAAAAAGTTCCACGATGATCAGAAACTAGAATTTCCAGCGATTAGCCAAGAATCAGGCAATGATAACTCTCAATGCACCCCTAAAAATCCCTTCGATAAGCTAGTGGGGGCGCCAAAAAAATTGCATTTTAACAAAAAAGGCACAAAAATCAAATACATAAGAAAGAAGAAAGAAAATGACTGTACAGACTGTAAAGTCAAAATCTTGGAGTTTGAAAACGATAGTAACAAAGCATCGGTTCTTCAGTGGTTAAACGATAATAGAAATGCATTCGATAGAAATACTCAAACACAGACGTGTGATGAAACTGGCGAAGAACCTAAAAAACTGCTTTCGTTAGATCTTCCATCAGTATCTCAAATGAATCGAGGATTTCCTGATGAAGCAGCGCAGCCACAAATATTAAAAACTTATCGTTCAAGATCGTTGGATAATTACTGCAGTTCTGAAAAAGAAATAACCCGGCTTTCCGATGGTGTGTTCAGTGAAAATTACAGAATTGAAGAAAACACTGAAGATATTCTAAATAAAATTGAAGTTATGCTTGAAAACAGATTTCTAAATCAACTCGATAGTGAGCTGGATATTAAGCATCAAAGTAAACAAAAAGATAATCCGCCTACTTTTTCTGTATCGTCCGGATGGGATAGAATTGAAAAAACGTCACAAACTTTAAGAAAAAAGGGAAAAACACCCGAAAAACTCAATATTATCAGCCATTCTGTGAGAAAAGATGGAAGTTGTGTAAATCAGAGAAACTCAAATGAAGGATTGAAATCAAACTCGAAATTAGCGGAAGTTAGTAAAGATTTAAGTGGCATTCTAACTGAAGCACAATGTAACAAATCGATGGATGTTCCCGACGAAACTGAAAATAAATTAATTGCTAATGTTACACAGGAAAATTTAGAACATGAAACTGTTATTAGTACAGATGAAAATTTAAAGCAAAAAAGCTCAAAAAGGAATTTAAACAAATCTTTTCAAAACATAATCGAAGCCTTAGTAAGTATATATAATTTTATTCTTTTGATAAAGGTCTTATTAAATCCAATTTTAGAATATCAAGGATGTCAATGTTGCTAAATCAAATATTGAAGAAACCGACATAGCAAAAGAAGCAGGTAAAGTATTGGAATAAGATTTTCCGAGGATTAAATTTAAAGTATTTTTTCACTTCAGGTGAAGGGGATGATGAAGATATGTTTTTATTACAAAATCAAGAAGCTACTGTAGGCGATAAAATGGAGGAATCTGAATTACCCAATACTTCAAATAATTGTGTTCAACATACAGAAATTGATAGAAAGAGCCAATCAGAAAAGAGCAATACTATTAATGCCTTAGAGGAAGAAGAAGAGGATAAAAGTAAAAATGATAACTGGTACAAAAAAATTAATATCTTAAGCAATGTTATAATCCACAAGAATAACGACGAAAAATCTATTCCACAAATTGCCTCACCTAGAGAGGTAACGAAGGATGCTGTTTTTGAAAAAAATGTAACATCACAAATTTCTAATGTAAATAGTAATTTAAACAACATCATGAGCACCTTAGATAAATTACACACTAATATAGAAAACATCAACCGCAACGAAAATTTAACAAAACAGACTCTAGATTCTATTCAAAAATATTTACAAAAATTGCTTGTAATCCCCGATACTGTTCGAAACAAAGTCGATATATCCACTCAGACCGACCAATGCACTTGCCTAAATTGTTTGCCTAACACACACCAGACCGAAGCTGATAAACTAGAGCACTCTTTCTTAGCTGCAGGAACACAATGCAAACTTACAGAGTTATTAATAACAGATTCGCACAAAACCCAAATGGATAGTGCACGAAAAGACAGTCAGAAGTTTTCCGAAGGCAACCCGATAGGCAACACTTTAGATCTCATGAACTTCGAGACGCAGGCGCTTGAGAAACAATACTTACACGAAACTAAAACTCGCCTACCCTTGCCTACATCAGATGAAAGACCACCCCGATGTACAGTGCAATCTAGTGTTAAAACTCCGAGCAATTTGTCTTCGACTAGTGATAACAAATCCCTGTCTATTTCTAACGATGCAAACATGTTCGTTAAAGCTTTGGCCAAAAATTTGGATGCGAATACGGCCGCTGATGTTCAGAAAGCGCTATCGGCCAGCAATTCCTCCGGCAAACGAAAATTCAACCGGTTGATCCAAGACGAATTATCCGTGGAATTTGAGCCAACGCAAAATAATTCAAATAATCTGAAACTATCTTGCGACAGTGAAGAAAACGACGATGTAAGTAACACACCGTTTATTAGCTAATTAATAAAAACGCTATTTTTAATTTCAGAAATACCTGAACACAATCTTGAAGAAATTCAAAAGTGGTAATATGGATACACCCAAAACTACAGATAAAGAAAACGTTCCCGCTTCCCTTGAATTTCTTCGAAATAAAAACGAAACCGAAACAACGCACATTTCCCAAAATGCTCTCAGCGTAGTCGAAAAAGCTTGTAAAAGAAGCGACACGACTTCCCTTTCTGATCTATCGGACATAATTCCCGAAACAGAAAACTACAAATCCCTAATAAAAGCAGTTATTGTGGACGACAGAAGCTCTGGAGAGGCTCGCCGAGCTTCCCAACCTCCTGCCCAAAATGGCTCCAACAAAAACTCATCCTATTGTCAAGAACTCGAAGACAGTTTCGATGGCATCGACTACGAAAGCGTGTTGATGGATTTAGAACACTCTGTAAAAAGCGATAAGATATCTAAAGAAGAGGACATATTTTCCGAAGAGGATGTTATCGAGACAACGCCGCATAAAGAAAAACCAACGTTAAATAAACGGTATATTATATTATTATTTTTTTAATTACAACTTACTTTATCGTATTTTTAGCACTGGAAGCTGCTTAGCTGTAAACCTAACGACAAATTTCAACAATCTGGATCCCTCACACGCCAGTACTCCTCGCTCGGCGAATCCCAACCTATCCATAGGACTCTCCCCGATTTTAACGAACAAAACCCTCGTCGAAGAAGCTAGTAAAACGAATAACACGCTAAAATTCAACAAGCGCCACGATTCGTCCCAAAGGAACATCCTAACGAGCGATCCTAGGCAGAAGAGCATTTTGAACTACGTAAAAGGGTCGAACGAAGCTGGATCGAAACAGACGGTTTGTATAGCCTGCACGAGGCTCGGTAAGGATCAACTGCAAAGCATCGCGATTCTGACGAATAAAAAACTAGCCACGTATAGCGCTAGTTTCGATAGTAGCGTTACTCACATGATCGTCGCGACCGATTCGAGGAGAAGGATTAAGGATTACACCCTGAAATTAGTAACGGCTGTAGCTAGTGGATTGTGGGTACTGGACTTTCAGTGGATTCAGGATTGTTTAAGGAGCAACAAACTAGTGCCGGAGGTAAGCGATTTATAATTTTTTTATCTAATTGTTATTGGCTCTTCGTCGTTGTAGAAACCTTATGAAGTTTTCGACGATGCCGGAGGTTCCGGTCCTAAAATAGCGAGATTAACTAGACACGAGAATCCCTTATTCGTCGGTTATAAATTTTATTTCGTACGACCTGCGCAGTCCATGAAAGTGGAGGATGCTGAGGTATTTTAAGTTGTTCATTTTTGTTATATTTTACTAATTGTACTTTTAGGATATTGTTATTAAGCTTGGCGGGACTGTTGTGCGAAACCTAGAGAGTTTGCTGGCGAAAGATCAGAAAGTTAAGCTAATTATTACGGAAGGGAAGCATACGCAAGATTTCGAAATATACGAAAGTAAGTAGAAAGTGTTTTTTAACGATTTTTCATTGTATTTGTGTCGTTTATCCCTTGCAGAATGGCTTGAAAAGTACAAACTTGTTACGGTCGATATTGAATGGTTCAGTAAATCGATAGGGCGATATACGGTACTCAGTATTCGGCCTTATATTTGGTGCTCTGATGATACATTAGAATCTCTAGACTATCCGGCGTTTCTTATAGAGAATACGGGTGATCAGTCTCCTAATACATACGGGTAAATATTGGGAGTGAAGTTTATTGTATGAATATTAATTTAGGCATTTATATTTTTTGTTCTGAAGTTTATTGATAAGCGCATTTTGTTCTGTTTCCTATGTTTTGTTATTTTATTTCCGTTTCGTTTAAACTTATTTGAAAGAAATCGTTTTGATAATTCAATTTTTTTCGATATAATGAAATGTTGGTGGCCTATCTCAATTTTTGTAGGGGCATGACTAAAAGTGACTGTATGAGTAATAAGTTAAAGTCCCCGGAAATTAACGCTAGGGAGAGCTAGTGACAACTGACATTTTATGAATCCGTTTGAAATTTGAATTAGGTGAAAAATTAAATTGTACTTGGATTGGCGGAGAAAGTGAAAAAAGAGCATCGGTTGCTATAAGCATCGCGGTAAATCGTCGATTGTTTATTAAATAAAAAATAATCTGACTTCCATCAGTGATGCTTTTGAAAACAAAGCTGTTGTGATACAATAATTTGCTGAAGAGAATCAAAGTAGTTTTTAAAAATGAACAATCTTGATAATTTCGTTATAAATATTTATAACATCGCCGAGGACGGACGCGCCGCTTCGATGGTGAGATACGAAATGAGTTTGAACAACAAAAATCTCGTAACGAAATCCTATTTTTGCCACAAAACCGTTTGTTTCGACCCCGAGAGCATGAGCGGGGCGCTCTACGACAACAAGCTCACTCTGAATTACCGCCAGCTGAAAGTCGAGGAGGCGATCAAATGCACGCGGCAAGAAGAAGACGACCCCGTCGGCGGTAAGCAAATGCTCAATATACCCACTATGATAAGGTGCCAAAATTGCGAGACGAACTTCCCCACTAAATACCAATACCAAAGGCACCAGTGCGAATTTAACGCCGAGAAAGTGATCCTGAAATCGGAAGTCGCCTGCAAGGAATCCGACCAGGTCCAGGTGAAGCACGTCTGCCTCATTTGCAACAAGCAATTCGTAAACGCCAGCAATCTGGTCCGCCATCTGCCCAGCCACGACAACAACCAGGAGAACATATGCGAGTACTGCAATAAGCATTTCATCAGCGAAAACCGCCTGAGAATACACAAGGAAAACCACTGCAAAAAGGCCGGCGACATATCGAAATTCTACAGGAGCGACGTCACCGTCTGGAAGTGCAAAAATTGCCACGAGGTGTTCTCCTCGCCGCTCACCGCCAACTACCACGTATCCATCTGCAAGGAAGTCATCAAAATCGAAGCGCACCGCGAAGAAGAAACCCCCGAAACGGACGAGAAGCCGCCCAACGATCCCGCCGGCGTTCTCGTCGACAAAAACCTCGAAAAGATGCTCACCGAGTTGCTCCTGCAATGCGAATTCTGCAACAGAACCTACGCCGAGAAGAACCTTCTGCTGGTGCACCAAAGGAAGCACACCACCTCCAAGAACTACGAGTGCACCAACTGCTCGCAGGCCTTCGACTCCTACATAGCGGCCGCGCAGCACTGGATGAAGAAGTGCTCCGAGTACGTCAGCCTCTTCTACCTGCCCAAGCTCACCTACTGCGAGTACTGCGACAGAACGTTCAAATCCCACGAGCTGCTCTACACGCACAAGATCAAGAAGAAGCACTACACCGTCAAGATCCATTTGCCGGGCTGCGCCAACGCCGCCGGCGCCGTCCCCAGCGACGAGAAATTCGTCAACAACAAGGAGATCCTCAACAAACTCATCGAGGACGTGCTGATCACCTTGGACGTGCCCCTCAACAAAATCAACACCTACTCCGCCGAGAGCAACAAGGAGAATCTAGAATCGACCGGAGAACAAGGTTGTTAATTCATCAATTTAATGATATATTCGTTACGAACGGTAACAATTCCAGATGCGACCGAGAAGAAGAAGAGAGGCAGGAAGCGAAAGTGGCCGGCGAATCAAAACGTTAAAATGAAGAAACTCAGTCTGGAAGTGGACAAAGGATTCAAATACCAATGCGAGCGATGCGTCAAGATTTTCTCGACAGTATTGGAGCTGGAGTGTCACAGGGAGAAGGAGCACGCTTCGAATTTCGCTTGCGAAGAATGCGGACAGGTAATCACACACACACACACCGACAGAAACTTTCATAAATTATAGCGATCACTTCGTGGACTCCACAAAAATGTCTTCCAGGCGCGACAGGGAACACTACACTCGAGCTAATTACTCGACTAAACTAAATATTCGACTAATAAATGATATATAACAGGTTCTTCACAGCGCTAAAGCGTTGACTATCCATAGCAGAGCGCACAAGAGCCTCAAACCTTACGTGTGCGAAACTTGCGGTAGAAGTTACTCACAGACGTCCCATCTTTGGCAACACATGCGGTTCCATCAAGGTACGGACGGGTGGATTTACGTGTATATTATTTATGCGTTTTTCTATCTAATTTTATTAGGGATAAAACCTTTCGCTTGTCCTCACGAAGGCTGCGAGGCTCGGTACACGATCAGGCCGGACCTGAAGGACCACATCAGGAAGGCCCACACCCGCGAGAGGCCTTTTAAGTGTAACGTTTGCGATAAATGTTTTTTGACCGGCTCGGTTTACTATCAGCACAGGCTCATCCATACGAACGATAGAAGATACGCTTGCGATGTGAGTATAGGTATTTTTTTTTGTATTATTATTTTTATCCCTGCGGGTGTCCTTAGTTGTGTCCCAAGCGGTTTTTCCGGGCCGATGCGCTCAATAACCACCGTAGAATTCATACGGACGAGAGGCCGTACCCGTGCCATATTTGCCGGAGGGAATTTCGGCAGAAAGGCGATCGCAATAAGCATTTGAGAACCCAACACCCCGATTCGGTAGTTAATAATTAGACGTGGCATGCCCGGTTTTTAGAGTTAAGTTTTATGCTAGTTGATTTTTTGTCCAATTAATTTACGATTTTTTTAAATTTGCTCGTTGTTTAAGCGTTATATAGTTAAACTATTTTTCCAATAAAATAATATCACAATTTTTACTAATTGTATAAATAAGTTACAAACAATATAGGTATATGTTTAGGCTGTTTCAACCAGCCTTCTCGATCTGTATTCATGATCGTTCATTCCCCATCCTTTATCTATTAAAAATTTTTCCCTTTTCTCTACTTTAGGATGAAACACGTAATCATCGGGTTTTTTCTTTTTGCTCGTTTTGCGCTTCTCTTTAACCACTTCGATTAGTTTTATGCGAGAAGCGGGCTCGAAGTAGAACTAAAATTTTAACTCGAGTCACTCAAGCTTCGCGAAATTCATTACGTACCCCTTTATCGTCGAAAAACGCATCGTCCAATCCTTGGTCGTCACGTTGCATTTTCTTCCTGATTAGCACCTTGACCAGATAAAAATCTGCCGTACAGCCGATTCTGACTAGTACTATAACTGTGTGTATCGCCCACAAAAGGGCAGCTATAAAATAGCCTAGTTGGCTCTGTTGGGCGTTTCTATAAAAGTGCCGGCGCCCTAATCTTTGCTCTTTTGTTAAATAGTCTAATATTGGCGAACAACTACAAAATAATGTATAAATTAGGCGCCAAAGGGATTGTTGATTTTAATTCTGTAAGTAAATTGGGCGCAGATAATGAAAGATCTGTTTGCAGGTAATATATTTCTGCGCCCAATTTACCACCGCCCAAAATAATTCACCAATTTTGCGTATGAAAGAAACATTAAAATGGCTGGGAAGCTCACCGTTTTTGCCCGGTGAATTGGGAGAATTGCGAGCAAAAGTCATTCAAACCGTTGTAAGTTAGAAGGAAAGCCACTACAGATAAAATAGTCATCGTACAAGTCGCTATGATCAGTGGATATACATACATCCAGCCACCGGGAGTGCTGAAAGATGGTCTATTACTGTTAATTTAGGCGGATGTAGCAGTTACTCACGGGCTATCGAAACTTTTAAAGGATTTTCGGAACAGGATAATCATCATGGTGAAAGTGGAAACGACGATTAGGGACGAAAACGGTATGATGATTAAATAGTCGCACAGAATGAGACTGGCGAAAACTGTGGTGGTCATTCCCAAGTGAGCTCTGGCCACTAAAGTATCGTTATTCACCCACAATTCTTCGTCGTATATGAAAACATCTTCCACCTAAGAAGTTTGAATTAATTACTCGTTACTACTAGAATGTATATTAAATATATATTACTCCCGGTACCGGTTCCGCTTCGGCCATAACCAATTTTTTCGAGCGCGAAGCGAATTCCACGTTGTAATCGTCCTCGAAAATTCCCAAATTTAATTTTTTACCAATCGGCGAAATCCTGGAAGTGTCCTCCGCGCGGATTAAACCGAAACGGGTCTCTTGTTCTCCCGAATCCTCCTTTATTTTCTCCGTATTAGTTTCGTTTTTGTAACTAACATCGACCAATTTAATGGATACTTTGGCGTACGCGATGCAACGGTAATTGAACGTGTCGTAAATTCTGCTCAAAGCATTCGCTCCCACCATTGAACTTACAGCAATTCCGATGAAACATATTATATGCAGTACTGCAAGAGTAATGTTTTGGGGATGTTCAAAATTGTATTTTTTACATACCTATCCATATTGTACTAGTTTTTTCTTTCTCAATAAATTGGTAATATTTTCTAGGTCTCATAAATCGTATGTATAATAAATGGTTGTCAATATAATGATAGTAATGACAGAATTATCATTAATTCTTCTTTTATGCAATTTACGTTATTATCTATGACTTTTTTAGGATTTCAATAAATTTCGTAATGTGTAACAGATTTATTCATTAATGGTGATAATACAAATTTATCGATACATTTTCTTGTGTATGTAGCTTGTTTCTGGAACGCCATTATATCTCAAGATCTTTGAATCTGAAAAGAAAAATAAAGGAAAATTAAACACACATTCACTGTAATAATATAAATTAAAAAGATTTGTTTTTTATCATAGTCTGCCTTATACAAATTTGTATTCATAAAAATTCATCTTGTATGTTCTAATCATAAATACGTTTCGTAATTATTTAATAACAAAAATTAGTTTAAAATACGTACCTATATCCTCAAACATTCTTACATCTTGATTGAATAAAGAATTCACGAGGAAATTAATACAAGCTCCTCATCTGCATAGAAATCATTCATTGAATCTGATCAGGGAATCTACCTCTGAATTGGAACATGGCCTTTTACAAATTTGGAATCCATTAAAACTACCTACAACAGATCAACTGTATCAATATGCATATCTTCAATAAAATTCAAGTAAATGTCAAACAAATCGAGTGTATAACCAGGTTAAACCTTGAAATAGAACATACAAACCATCTCAAGAACAAAAACTGGTCAATTACTCTAGCGAAGTAAGTATTAATTTGAAAACCATTGAATAGTTTCCCAACCCTGAAACTTCGCACAAACATTTACATTGCACTTGTAAGAAAATTTACCTTTGAATTAGAATGGTAGATTGGAGTCGATCCCTTTATTTCGCACATATTAAAACTACCTGAAACAGAAAATTTCTGGATATACACAAATATACTAGCAGAACAGCTATTCATATTACTGGCAAACAAATCAGAAAGACAATAAATCTTCATTTAGTTATCAGAAGACCGTCGTCAAGTATCATCATAATTCTTATTGGGGCCGAATAGCCTTAGTTGCTGAGGCCATAACACCGAATATTTAATTTATAGACACGTGCACGCATACACCAACACGTGGGTTATAAGTGGTTTTACTTACGTTTAATAATGTATTTCTCCTTCTGCATTAGCTCGCTTGCATAGCAAATATCTGAAAAATAAACTAAATTAAGCATTTTGTTTGTAGAGATAAAAATAAATGTATATTTTCACCAATCAGAGAGACGTTAACTCTTCACGGTTTTCAGAAGACCGTCGTCAAATATCATCATTTTAATGTACAATTAAAAAATATTAATGTAAATTGAAGTAGCTTCTTTACTCTTTTGATTCAATTACCATGAGGAGAAAACAATGAAATGTAAAAAATGAAACTAGTGATATAAAAACTAACTTACCTTGCATCTTATCACTCTGGCTGACGAACGGAAAAGGAAATGAAAAATGAAAATATGAACGTAATTTCATTGACATTTGACTTGATGCCTCGTACATAGTAAGCCATAAGTTATAAATTTCTTTGTAGTAAAAAAGAAGAAGTAACAAGTAACAAACTTCACTTGATTGTCACTCTTATCACTGTCAAGTCAAATGTCAAATTTCTCTCAAGCTCAAACTCAAAAATTAAATATGTAGGCCTCCTACATGTTCTTGATTTTATTACGTTTTCATTTTTGTTTAATTTTAATTGTATATTTTGTAATTAGGTACGTATTTATAAGTATAATATATTTGTATTGAGTTTTCTCAGATTTTCAACATTCATCTGAGTATCTGAGGCTTTATTACATAGGCATCTATTAGTTTTCAGGGAATCCCCAAATATATTTTAGTGCCTTAAAATTAATTTTACTATCAAAAACCAATTATATTTTTATTGTTGGATAAAGGTGAGTGATAACGTATCCTGATATCGTTGTATATCTATTTTTATTATACTCAAATTGATTTTATTTGTCTTAATGAAATGTATCATATGTTTATTCTTTCCATCATGAACTTAAATAAATAATTATATTCTATAAATGCTTATTTTGTATTCTACTTTTTCAGTTTTTAAATCAATTATGGAAGGCGAAAAATTTATAACAATAATAATTAAAAGTCATTTTGAAAGGATTATAGAACTTTACGAGTTTGATACAGTTGGTGAGTAAATTACTTTTTTCTTCATTAAATACTAATAGATCTAATATGTATTAAACTGAATTTTTTAGAATTACTGCAAATTGCCATCCACAGAATATTCGATATAGAACCGAAGAAGCAATTGATCAAGGGCTGGAAAAACATTCCTGAATCCGATGATACTACATTGAATTTTTGTTTGGACCGCAACAAAGTTAATTACCTAATTTTAAGCAAAACTACCACAGAAGATGAATGCACGATGACTATTAGCAAAAATTTAGGTAACAAGTTCTAAATTAATGATATACAATTTCTAATTGTACTCGTACTGTACGGTTATTTTAGAATCCTTAGAACTCGAAGCCGTTCGAAGTTGCTACACACAAACACGCCATTTTATCTCTACACCTCACTTAAATTTCAATCTAGTAACTTTTCAAAAAGCAATAAGCGAGGTTTTCACAGTCCCTCCTGATCAGGTGAGTTATGAAGAAGTTATTATATCAGTTGAAACAATTAATAATTTGTATGTTCCAGAGAAAAGCCATCTGCTTGTACTTGCACAATTCAAATTCGCCGTTTCCCGAAAGATTTTTCAAAATGATTCAACACGAATCCCTCTCGTTAATGATAATGAATAAGTTTTATATGATCGGTTGGGATGTTCAAAGCGAAAAGCACCACAGCGCTCTGGGCATCGCACTGACCGAGGCCGATTTAATCCACTTACGCAGTTTCATCGAAACGAAAATGTGCGCAGCCTTTATAATCCAGTACATCGAGGGAACCGTGAAAGTGCAAGTAACCCTAGCGGATGGCATTACTAACGAAGAGCTTTATAAACATGTTAGAAACAATCACGATTTTCTTATCGCCAGACGGCTCCAGCTGACTTGTACCGAAACCGATCAATGCGAAACTAGAACATTAGAAGTAGACTCCAATGGTTTTCAGTCTCTTATGGGAGAGCGATTGGGCGATAGAGACTACACATCCTACAGTTTCGACGAACACGAATTAATGAAAAAAAACATAGGCTTCGCGCTTTTTGGTCCTCCCGAAGAGACGACAAGCTACAATAGCAAACAGAAGAAGAAAATTCAACAAATATACGAAGCAATCGTCAAATGTAAATATACATAGAGCGACTCTAAAGTCGCGTCTTTAACTTGACAGTTTTACATTGTTGTTATGGAGTACCTAGGGACTCGAGATGCGACTTTAGAGTCACTCTAAAGTTAAACAGAGGCGCTGAATACAGGCCAATAACATTAACTTAACATGCAAATGCACGTAATGATAATTTTTAGATCATTTTTCCGAGCACAACGGCCAAATCGAACTCTCCGTCATATTCAATTGCACCGAGCCGCTTCCCGACGACAAAGCGTCCAGAAAGAAGAAGAACCCCAAGTACAATCCGGACGCCGACATCATTCCCGTTCCCGTCTTCGTCATCAGAAAATGCCGGGCCGGTCGAAACCCCTGCCGGATTTTAATCGACGACGTCGGGCGCAAATACGAATCCTGGACCAGTTACATAAATAACAACAAGCTCGACGAATGCGTAATGGTCCTGCCGAAGGACGGCAAATACGCTTTTATAGGCGACCGGGTGCAATTGGAACGGCACCCGTCACCTTCCTGCGGAATCGGCTCGAAAATACTGAAAGTCGGCGACGTGGCCAGCATAGTGGGCAGCTTGGGATCGGGAGGGGTCATGCTGGCGGGAGCGGCGGCCGGCATCACCACCATCGCGGTGGCTCCCGTCGCCCTCATCGGCGCCGGCATCGTCGGAGCCGGCGCCGGCGTCTACGGCCTGGGCAGGGGCATCGGGAATCTCGTCGATAGAGTCAAACACGACCAGGTTAGTTCCATTCTTTGTTACCGTCACCCGTCAAATTAGCCCAAAGACAACACAGCCCAAGGAAAAATAGCACAGGGCTGAATAACCCAAGGACGAAATCTTACTATTTGGGTCTATTTTGGCGCCTATTTGGGCTATTTTGTCTGGTGTAATTTTGTCTTTGGGCTATTTTGTCGCGTGGAATTCAGTCTTTGGGCTATTTTGTCTCGTGGGATTTTGTCTTTATGCAATTTTATCTCGTGCGATTTTGTCTTTGGGTTATTTTGTTTCGCTGGGTTTTGTCTTTGGACTATTTTGTCGGGCTGCCGTTGGTTCCATTTCGCCAATATTGTATTTGCAGAGTTTGAGTTTCGCCGATTCGGAAGCCCGAGGAATCTACTTCAACCTGCTGGCGGGCTCCATGGGCTTCGTGGGAGCCGGTGTCAACGTGGCAGTTTCGCAATTGGCCGCTAGAGGCATCGAAATCGGGAAGGTACGAATTGCTCGTGCGACTCGAATTTTCTACATAACTATCGTTGCGTTTTATTTCGCTTAGGGTGTAGGGATAGCGGTGAATACGCTAGGCGTGGCGAATATAGGAGTGAGCGGCGCGAGCGTGATTAATTCCACCTACGACGTGTTCGATCAATGGTTGAACGAGCACCAGGCGCCTTCCATGCTGACCATAGTCCAGCTCAGCGCGTCGCTGTTGTTCTTTGGAAATTCGGTTTACAATTTCCAAACTTGCCAGGTGATCGTCGACGAGGCTCAGGGGAAGGTGTTGCAGGATTACTCGCAGTCGCTGCGCAGCAACAGGCACAGGTACGAGCTCGGAACGGTCGCGCTCTTCGGCGTGTTATGAATTCGTTTGGCTTGCAGGAAAACTTTCAACAAAATGATGAAAGAAACGGTGAGACGGTGCGAGGGTAATCAAATGCGCGGCCAAGCGGAGGTGATTAAAACGATCAGGAACATACCGAACAAAGACGAGGTGTTCGCGGTGCTGACGAGGACGAATAAACTTATGAACGAAAAGGGAGTGAAGTTCTTCGCCGGCGACGGAACGATCCAATTGAACGGCTATATTATTAACATGAACGATTTTATGATTCTTAATAAGCAAGAGGCTAGTACCTTTCTGTCTAATCTGCCTTTGAATGAGAACGTAACCGTCAACGATACTAACGCATTCATCAATAAGTATTCTTTAACAAATTGGACTAATTCGCCGAATTGGATGTATTTTGCCGCTTACGCATTACGTCTAATAGGGAGGTACGAATCCGACGTGCAGGGGATGCTGATGCAAATTGCACGAGACGTATCGAACGCGGTGCAGAAATATGTCGACTCGTATTTGAACGAAATAATCGATAGAAATCTTTGGACGTCGAAGGTGCTTAAGTGGGTCATGGAGTATTATAGCGGAAAATCAGTGGAGTTTTTAAAAACGTTCAAAAAATGGTTGGCAACTGGCGATTGCAATTATTTCAAAGAAAATTACGTTGATTTATCGGGCATAGTAACTGAACGAAACGTTAAGATTATTTCGATGCTCATTCGACTTTCTTTCAAAGAAGGAAAGTTGAATTCGCATGAATTTTTGGAAATTACCGATTATGTCATGAAACTTACGTTAAAAAAAATATGCAAATACCGAAAGGACGAGGAGCGCAGTAAAGAGATAAATCAAAACGACACTAAACAATGCACAAAAGTACAATGCAAAATTTGTGATGGTTATTATTTTCAGTATTGATAGACTTATTTTTTAAGTATTAATATACAGTGTACATATAAGTACAAATTTGTCTGTTTTATGGTGAATTCTATGAGTTGAACAAAGACATATTATTAGAAGAGAATGAGAATGAGAAAATTGTAATACCACAATCTTTTTTTCTTTAGCCGAGACTAATAGAAGTTGTTTTTGTTGCACTCATAAACTATCAAATTTGCACTTATAAATAATATCTTAATATTATTGGTTGGAACGATTTTATTTATTCTATTGGTGTTTTTTAATTATTTTACCATCTAATTAAAGGTGCTTGCATAAAATTTACAAAACTTATTTGAATCTTTTATTTCGCCAAAGATAATTAAGCGACGGATCTCCGCGCAGAAATTTCATTAATATTAATATTTTGCCGAGGAGCCACAGCCCAGACAATGCTTAATAAATCAAATATGCCTTAATGAAGAGAAATATTGGCCGCTCAACAACTAAAAAGCAATTTAGAAGATTAATATTGCCGATTTCGTATCGGGTAAACAAGTCTGCGACGACATTAATCTGAGCTAACTGCGTATATAACTCTCGGAGAAAGGGCGCAAGACGTCTTATTTGAAATACTTTTTTCGCGACCCTCGTATATTTCGTTTTTTTTATTAATCCTATGAGAACACGATGTTATAATCAAGTAAATCAATAAAAAAAGCTGTTAAACGTTTGTGAAATTAGAGGGCTCAATTATAAGTAAAAAAATATAGTCCAAACTTCAAATTAACGTGAAATGATCAAATTAATTATGAATAAAACCGAAAGAAATCCTCCTGTATTTGAATTGTACCAATCATTATTAATACTACAAAGTCATTAATTCAATTAAAACCAAATAGATAATTCATATAGAACTCTAGTGAAAACAAATTAATCAACCCTTTTAGCATAATCGACCCGAATTCTACAAGAAACTGACGATTATTAGAAACAAATAATCATTGTGAATAGACTATACTAAAAATTCTTCATCAACCAATTTAAGCTATTTTAATGCAAATTCTCGGCACAATTTTTCTTCTAATAACCATCCCTCCGCCAGCATTTTGCCATCTTATCTCGAGCCGGAGCGTTTGCAAGTCGTGCATCTGCACCCCATCGAATCGCGGGGCAGCGAAAGGGGCGCCCTTCATCTTACGCCGCCCGATTATGGCCGTAAACCCCTAACGCGTATGATTCATCCCTTAATAAATGTTAGTTAGTCGGTCGGGCATTCCTCGCATTGCGTGCACTTGAGAGAATCTCAAAGATTTCAAAGACAAATCCGCCGGGCGTGATTACGATTCCGGCCTTTCTTATTTGCTCCTAAATTACGACGAGAGCTTAAGGGTTGAAGTTTCTATTACGAACGAAATTATAATCGAAACATTTACATCTTATAAGTGCGTTTGTTTGATTTTAATAAAGCGTGTAGATAAATGTATTTTTAGCGCAAATAGTTTATAAGAAAAATTACAACAAACACCTTGTATATCTATGAGTAGATACATAAGTATTTTAGTTTGTTGTTTGTAGCGTTTGAGAGAATGCCGATTTTCGAGCGAAACCGACTAAATTTAACAAGCTTGGCTAAATGCCTTGCAAATTATAATCATAAAACCAGATACGAGCGCATTGAGCACTATAAAGGGTGACCGACCCTTAAAGGGGTTCACTATGTCTGCATCTCCATCTTTTTCCCATTGAGTATCAGAAACGGCGGACGGGGGTCGGTAATTTAATATTATAGGACGTTGTTTTCGGGTTATTTACAACCGTTCGAAGCTGGATTATTTCAACATAAAAATCGATTCTATCATCTCGAGTTTTAATTTGCGTTTGCACTGGTAGAAACCCGGAGCAATCCGAACATCCCTTAAACGTGCGCCGACCAAAAACCGGCCTAAGACGGATCCAAGGAGATTTGGACGTAAGAAGACGGGAGCTTTGTTCGCTTTATGTTCGAAATTAGTAACGAAACGTGGAAGCTTACGTGGGCTTTATAGTTGCAAAGTTGCAGGAAACGCTCTGTCCGGCATAAAGTATAGGAGGAGATTCGACCGGGCTCGTACGCTTTACGGGGTATAAACACTTGTCGAACTAATTAAACTTATTATCTACCGTAGGGCCTGTAAACTTGCTCCTCTATGTAATAACTTTCTTCTTGTTTAAGACTCTGTTCTAGAACGTGAGCAAACCGGACGGTTATAAGGAACTATATTAATTTACTACCGCAAGCTGCGCTTGTATTATGTAATTTAATAAATAAATCTGATAAATTTAACAATAAAATAATTATAATATAAGGGAAAAATAAGTAACAAAGCAAATAATAATCCCTTTTTGGTGCGGAATTTCGGAGTTCAGGTGAGCCTAATCATGGGGTTCAATTTTTAAAATTAAAAAAAAAAACGCCCTGTAAATCATTCTTCCGATTTCCTTAATGAAAAAACACCCTGTACGTCAAATTAAATGTCAACGTATCCCGTAGTAACGGAAATGACAACTTTGACAGTTCGAAGTTTGTTTATCGCCGCTGTCATTACTGTAGGTTTTTTAAAAATAATTTGATCGTTTCTCCCGTAGAGAAAAAAAGATTTTGTCTATGGTTTCTCCGTTTTTGGTAAGTACAAATGACCAAGAAACGTATATTTTTGCGTATTATTGTATTTTCTTTTACTCTCGTCCATTAAAAATGACGAATTTGTCTGATTTCGGTGTAGTTTCGTTTAAAGCAAACGAACGGGCAACGTCAATCAAACAATTTATTTGGAAATCTGTCAAAAAATTCACTTTTAAAATGGAATTACGGAATTAAATTTTGATTTTTCCCAGCGAAAAGAGGTAGATTTTTGTAATCGGCGAATTATTTTACGTCCCGCTATGTACCTCTGTATTCCCCAGAAACTCCATTTCGATCTCCCCCTTCACTTTTTTTTGGAGCTTCATATAATTTCTTAAAATGTTTAGAACTATTTTTGAAAATTCTCTACTATGTTAATTAAAAGAATTTTCTCACCAATAAGCCTTTTAAAGTTATTAAAGCATCTTAAAGTTATAATTTCGTTTTATCTGCTACTAATCATTTTCCAAACATCATTTCAAAACTTCTCAACCGTTCATACAAACTCCTAACTGTTCATGCTTTAAATGTGGCATTTTTTAATTACCTAATTAAAATTATCACTCAACATCTCATCAGCGGTGCAAAAATCGATGAACCCCTTTCCTCCCTTTAATAGTGCAGATCAAAGACAAGACCGTTTTCTAAGTCAAGTTTCCTTCCGCTCTCGCCGAGGGTCCTTTCTTGGGACCGCCGGCGGTCCGAGTGCAACAGCCCCGACGGCGTCTAATAAAATTACACCATCTGTACGGACGCTAATTGAATTAGCTCCTGCGATGATGGCCTCCGCTGACGTGTTCCCTTCATTGCACAAGTCATATACACGTTTCTCCTTTGACAAGAACAGACCTCGCTGACGTCTTGGGTCTGTTGGCGAAGCAAAATCAAAACCATTTGCTGTTGTTTTCCGCCAGCGAACCGTGCGAATCTAAATACGTCTTACGTGAATTTTATTGATGTTTCTCGTTGTTTTTTGTTTCGTTTATTTGCGCGTTTTATTGTACCCGCTGTAACGTGTTGCAGTATTCAGCTTAAGTTATTTAGTACTGGCGTATTTCGGGGGGCTTTCGGTGAAATATCGCGTCGTTGGAGCTTTTATTGCTGTCACTTGGAAAGAAACTTGGCGATTTCGTTTCCGGAGAGTCGCTTTGTTGGGTTGTTTATCGGCATTTTCTGGCTTCTTTTATGTATATTTAATGAAACTTGAAATATCTAATGCCTGTTTTATGGGAGTCGAGTAGAAAGTTTTCGGAATATTGTCGCATGTACTGATGGTTTTTACCAATTTTACCGCATATCGATAGATTTATCGTATTTTTTTAAGCGGTAAAATTCGAAACTACATCATATGAATTATTTTAATTATAAATACTTCTTGTGATTGTAGATATTGTTGCTATCTTTTTTAACGGAGTATTAAAGCGAATACCTACTGCAGTGCTTTATAATAAGAATTATTGGTTCTAAAACCAGCCAGTAAAACCAACTCGTAACGCCAAATAGAAGGAAATTAAGTAGGTGCTTGCAATTTCATAGCTAAATATCGCAATAATTCCTTTAAGAACATAACATTTTACATTCATCCTGCACTTTTATTACACAGTTAAGATTTACCTATTCACGAACAGCTATAGAACACAAATTATAGCACATAGCATGTTAAATATAATCAACTCAATACTTAAATATGAATTTATTTACAGTGTGAGATTGTAGGTTTTAAGTTTACACGTTTCTTTAATAGAAAATTGTTATCAATGGAACTTTAAAAGACGATTATATTCCAATCTTAATTCCTCTAGTGAAGCAAATTAAAGATAATAAACTTGTATTCCCTTTTAGTATTACCTACTAATTAAAGGAAGTAATTTCTTTTTTATCGCCGGCATAAAACCCCCTCAACAACCTCCCGATTATTACATACTATCCATAACTTGGCATCCCGTAATCTCCTTACTCCTTTTTGATACAGCCCATAAAACTCGACGACTGTACATTGTCATCGCCCGTCCTGCGAAGTTACAGCCGAGGCAATCATAGCGATAACGAGCGCGTTGTAAGACGCGGCCGGAAAGTGCTCCCCAAGGACGCCCGTAAGGACCCCGCGCCGATCCGCAAGACTCCCATCTCCGGGCGGAACGGGCGGGGTAATTTATTCATGGCCCTTCTCGACGGCGACCGCTTTGAATCGGCTCCCAAGCTCGAGATTTCGACTTGGATTAGCCCCAGTCGTAATCGCACACGCGAATTTCCAGCCGCCCCTCGGCCGGGGCGGCGGCCCCCGCGCCGCTTCCTCCACCCGGCCGAAGGAAAGTTTTATTGCCGCAGGACGCCACATCGCTATCTTGACGACTGCGATCTGATTATGGCGGTG